TGATTAACTATTCAGGAGGAACCAGTTGATAAGACTAAGCATTGGGGTGATTTGGAGGAAGAGGAAGAACAGGAGGAAGAGGAAGTAGAAGAAGAGGAATTGAAGCTGGCATTCAATCTGTAGATAGTCTTTCAAGGTATGTGGTTTCCCTTATGACCCGTGTTGTAAAATTTTGGTCTTAGGTCACAGGTGGTGTGGAGAGTTTGGTGATTGTGAGTCGGCCACTATTTAAGTCCTTGAATGTGTTTGGGTGCATACATTAATACATATGAGCATAAATTTTCAGGTCGTTGCTTAGCATTGTTGAGCATATCATTAAAGCTTCAAAATCGAGAGATAAGAGTGGGGGGTAGGCTAGGCACCATGTCTATTATGGGTTCACCATTTATATTAGGTGGTTATGTAGCATATTTGATGTAAGTTGGGTAAAGATAAAACGAGAACACAATTGATGTAAGTGAAGGGAAGGTGGGGTCCAAGTCTTTTGACATGTCTTTAGAAATTTTCTGAAGGATAAGTTATTCTACTTTTCTTTATTCAGTACTCCCACTGGTGTCGAGACTCCAGAAGTTATCGACCTTCGTAAGCAACAGAGGAAGGAGCCTGAGAAGCCTCTCTACCAAGTGAGTGCATCATACGAGACTTCACCCTTTCCCCAATGAGTTTCTGTTTTGTCCTTTCTGAAGCTCACATTTGTCTTTCATGTTTTGGAAGTAACTTGAAGAGAAAGAAGAGAAGATAGCTCGAGGGACATTACTCGGAACAGCTCATACGTACGCTATCTATTTTTACAAAAATTAGAACTTCTCTTTTGGAGCTCTTTTTTTCCCGTCTAATCTCGAGTTTAATTTTCTTTTACACTTTCCTGCCTACAGATATGTAATAGGCTGTGGTACGCAAGACAAAGCAGCAGCATCCAAAAGGGTAAGGAGGTTTGATTACCTTTTTTTTTTTCCCTTTGCGTCAATGTAGAGTTTTGTGCTTGTATGTAGAGTCATTTATTTATCTATTTTTAAAAATCCTACACTGACAAGAGAAAGTATACTGTGGTGGTCCTGGTTAAAAATTTTATGCACTGCCAGGGAAATACTCCAGGGCTGGTGAATAATTAGTAAGAGAAAGACGTGGTATATTCATGTCACATCTTGATAGTAATTCTCCCCCCGACAGAGCTTACCTCATAAAAAATTTTGTTATTGAAAGAATGGATNCCTTTGCGTCAATGTAGAGTTTTGTGCTTGTATGTAGAGTCATTTATTTATCTATTTGTAAAAATCCTACACTGACAAGAGAAAGTATACTGTGGTGGTCCTGGTTAAAAATTTTATGCACCGACAGGGAAATCCTCCAGGGCTGGTGAATAATTAGTAAGAGAAAGACGTGGTATATTCATGTCACATTCTCTCCATATGATTGATCATTGGAATTCCCTTGTTTGTGGGGAAGTCATAATCCTGCTTTACTTTTGATAGTTTTATGAAGTGAATGGTGAAACCTTGACTTAAAATACGTTTTTATACCCAACAGAGAATAACATTGTTGGCAAATTGTGTCATTTGGACCGAGCAAATGCAAACTGCCTTCATATTGTATTCTGCGTGACCTTGGATAGCCAATGTAGTTTACCCATTTACAAGCACTGATAGTACTAGAAATCCTGCTTTGTAGGATTCCATTCAGCTAAGAGCCTTGGCAAGTCAAAATGTAGTTGCCCTATTTCTAAACCCTGTTTATGCAAACTGCCTTCATATTGTATTCTGCGTGACCTTGGATAGCCAATGTAGTTTACCCATTTACAAGCACTGATAGTACTAGAAATCCTGCTTTGTAGGATTCCATTCAGCTAAGAGCCTTGGCAAGTCAAAATGTAGTTGCCCTATTTCTAAACCCTGTTTATGCAGCATTGGCCTAGGCTGCCCAAGTTATACTCGGTCACTTTTCTGAGTACTGCATTGGCGGGATGAGAGGTGTATGTTAGTACATTTAGTAGGAGGCCCTGCATTAGTTTTTGTGTGTAGCCCTTGCATACGAGTTGCATACGTGCTCAGATATGTTTGTCTACATTCATATAATGGTTTGCAAAGTAGGAACCATGCTAATTTTACCTAAATCACAATTTTTCTGAAAATTGACCTGGAATGGAGACCTACATTAGACTCTTGCAGGTTCATGCTTGTGTTGTTTACTTTTGCTTTTATAGACATTTTCTTCGACTTCTTGCGCAGACCTGCTGGGTATTCCTCTATGTATATTTCCGATATGGTTAGCAAACTGAGACCTGAGGCAGTTATTTACTAATTAGTAACTAGTGTCCGGATAGTAACTACAAGATGTAATTATTGACAAGCTCAATGATGTGCCTTTAACATTGATTCTGCTTTCAGGTTGATCTACTTAGAGGTCAGAAATCAGATAGAGTTGATGTCACATTAGCGCCACAAGAGATGGAACTTATGGACAATGTATTACCAGCCAAGTAAGTGGACCCTTTGTTTTTGTTCTTGACCGGTGTTACTGGCTCTCTAAAAGCTATTGCAGGTTCTCCATTCTTTTTTCATGGTAGAGAGTGCCTGAGGCTGTTGTAATTCCAGCAATATCTGCCCATATTGTTTCACTATCCGGCCATGNTCATGGTAGAGAGTGCCTGAGGCTGTTGTAATTCCAGCAATATCTGCCCATGTTGTTTCACTATCCGGCCATGTTCTGCAGGGTGGTTTATTCTTTGATTGTGTTTTGCAGGTACGAGGAAGCCAGGGAGGAAGAGAAGCTGCGTAGTCAGCGGGAGGATTTCAGTGACATGGTTGCTGAGGTGTGTGTTGTTTTTTAATTTTTGTTCTGTATTTTATCGAGTTTTTGGGAAATTTGTTTAATGAAATGAAACTGGTGCAGATTGCGAATAAGAGGAAGCGGAAGATGCAGGAAAAGGATGGGAAATCGAAGAAAAAGGATTTCAAGTTTTAGACAGTTTTGGTTGCGTAAACTTGATACTAGAAATTCCAGGCCAACCACGATCAAGTCATGGGTGAATCTTACTTAGCTTGAGAGCTATAGGATTTACTGCCCCCTTGGAGCTTATGTTATGACCTCTGTTGTAGTTTTCCCTTAGCTATCTCAAGGACCTACCAGAGGTTGTTGAATCGATGGATTGCAAATATGAGATTCATTTTGTTGTGAAGTTTGGAGAGGGTTAGATGCATATGGTTTATCTGGTCTATGCACTTCTATCATGACTTTCTTTTCCTGACTCATAAAAATAGAGGAAGACCAAACCACCAAAAATAAAGTCATGAAGTGGTGTATACATATTTTTTTTTGGCTATAAGGTGTCTAAGCTTGTGTCGACTGGTCTTTCGAGTTCGGTGGGTGACTTGAGTTCGATTAAAACATGTTCTTAAATGGACAAGGATAGCTAGTTCTTAACAAGCAAATGCAGGGTGGGAGCCCTACTATGGAAGTAAAGATATTAAATCCGGTGAATTTCTTCTTTTTGATTTTCTTCAAGCTAAAAAAAAAAAGAACAAAAGTTCCCTCCATACAAGGATTACTGTATGTTGGTGGCTGTCTAAGGAATCTCTCGTAGACCCGACTCTTCCTCCTTCCCAAGTATTTAAATCAGGGATGAAGCAGCAATGTTGAAGCCCCACCATATGGTAGATACCATCAAAGCTACCACCATGGTTGTAATGATGGGAATGCATATGCATAGAAGTTGAGTATGGTCCATGTCATAGGCCCCATAGCTCTAGAGAGGGGGAATAGAGGGCATTAGTCTGATTTTGCATTCGGTACAAAATTCCCCACTTTGTGCATGAGAAATAAAAGTTTGTCACATGCCTAAAGGAAGAGCAAAAACAATCTATCTGCAGTGGATCATGTACCATTTCTTAGTCATTAAGAAATGGAGAGCCATTAGCAAGTGTGTATATGAGAGAGAGGGGTGTGGATACTGGCCCCCCCCGATAAATAATATAATCTACAAATAAACTAGATTAATTTTTTCACCCCAACAGTATTACTGCACAAATCAAAGTGTATCTGTTATAACTTTGTGCGAATCTCACCTGATTCGTCGAGGTGTCAATCGTGTTGTGTTCGTATGACTTACATGTCACGGTTATTTTTGTCGTATTATTGTTATTCGTGTCATATTCATATTAAAATTTACGAAAAAAATAAAAAATTATTTAATGTGTTTTAAATATTAAATATTAATTTAAATTATTTATTATATATATTTAATAATTATATCAATTTTATAATTGTTGGAATGGAATCGGTATCAACAACTCAGAGCCGACACTCCTCTACTCACCACCACTGCACCCCACATACACCAATCAGAACCTCTTGGATTGGACCATAGAAGCTCAAAATTCTACAGATCTTTATTCTCCTTATAATTATTGTTTTTACAGATAGACTGATGGATAGGAATATATATATATATATATATATATAATAAAATAGTTAACAATTTGAACCTCTACCCCAACATATTTTATCCCTAAAATATCATATCACCTCTTTTTATGGTATGTTTAATTATTTAATATTTATTTAATTAATAATTTAAAATAATTTTTATTTTAAATATTATCAATATACGATAATATAGACATAATATAGACATGTTAAAAAATGTTGTCGAATTACGTATCTTGAAAAAATTTTATCGATATTTTTAAAAAACTAATGTAATCAAAGAAATGCATGAGAAAAAAATTGTTAATACGGTGAAATCGATTTTTTAGATGTTCAAATTTTATGTTTTATAATATCTTTAAGAACGAGTTATCAATAATTTATCTATGTAATCAGTGTATAAAAGTACGTTATAATATGAATAATTTTAAAAAAAATATTAATAATCATTAATTAAATATATTTAAATTCGTCGAATAGATTTATTGCATTTTACCCTATTTTATATCGTAGATATACATAATCTCAGACATGCTCAGTTTTGATAACCTTCCCAGGTGTCCAATCTCTTCTTAGCTTCTCACAACACCACACTCTTTCTCTGAAACAAGAGAATTTGACGCTTCTCATACTCCTCAGCTTCATCTCTCTTCCTGCACCAAGATCCAAATGCCAAATCTTTTTAATGTTCCTATAAAAGATAGTTTTCCCTAGAATCTCAATCTCATATACTGATCAGGGTCATCTCTCAATTTGTTAGTACGATCATATAGAAGATCACTCTTATCATTTCTGTGAATTAAAAGATGGATTTGAGTAAGAAACTGTCTTCTGGTGATCATGGGCTTGATTGGAGCCAGAACTCCGTCACACCGGAGCCCCCAAAACCTCTTCCACCGAGGCGGCACCACCACCAACCACCAAAATCAGAGCCTTTGAAGTGTCCAAGGTGTGATTCAACAAACACAAAGTTCTGTTACTTCAACAATTACAACCACTCCCAACCTCGCTATTTCTGCAAAGCTTGTAAGAGGTACTGGACTAAAGGTGGCACTCTCCGCAATGTCCCTGTTGGTGGCGGTCGCAAAAACAAACGGCTCAAGACATCACACGCCGCCGCCGCCACCGCCACCAATAGGGGTAGTCCCATACAACTTGGTGGTCATAAAAACATGTCTGATATTCTTTACCAGGCCTTAATTCCTCCACAGTCTTCATTACAACATGATACAATCAACGCCTTTAATGGGAAAACTTTCATCGGAAGCCAAAATCAAAATTTAAAGTTTTCAATCTCAAATTTGAGCTCTTTTGACGCAAACCCATCTTCAGTATCCACCACTTTTCGATCAATGAATGAGTATGATTTCACTGAAAAGCTTGAAACTATGGAGGATTCAACAATCACCACCACCACCATGTTCAGCTCAAGCAGCAACTTTGTTTCTCAGCCATGGCACATTCTTGACACAAGCAGTGTCATGGAGGTGCCAAACTACTGGAATTGGAAGGATTTCGAGATGTTATCAGCTGATCTTAATATACCTTGGGATGATACTGAGATCAAACCTTAATTATCATTTGGAGTGAGTATGGATCAGTCTGTGTGAATGTTTGTTTGTTTGTTTGTTTCTATTTATTTTTTTTAGTGTTGGCCGTACTATCTAACCATATGGTTCCTTGTATCTATCTACTATCTACCTGTAACTATTTTAGTTATGTATCTTGTTTGAAGCTGTCCTTTTTAGTCCCAGCTTCAGGCCATGATGCTTCAGTTTTTGCTCTCTCTCTCTCTCTCTCTCTCTCTCTCTCTCTCTTGCAGGAATGTGCATAGGTTTTGTACCGGTTCATTCACCATAGATTTTGATAGAATTGGGATTGATGGATTTTGACAGGTCTGTGGAAGAATGGAGTCTACTGTAGCGGGGTGGAATGACCATCTTTTGGTGGAAGATTCCTTTATATCAATATAATATTACACTTAAAAAATTAAATTATTAATTTATAAAAATATAATAATAATTAAAATTAATCTAATTGATGGGACTTTTCTGAAATACCCTATGATGAAGACATGTGTCCTCGATTTTACTAAAACACTGTTGCTAAGATCAAGCACCATCGGCGCACGAATGTCCTCGCCCCCGAGGGTACCGTCATATAGGACCATACATTCAGTATATTTTACAACCGACACGTGTTCTCGGTCAGATATGTACCTCGGTCGGCAACCTTCCTCGGTCCCCGAGATGATCCTTTCCTCGGTGCCGAGAGGTACCCGTCCTGGACACTTCCTCTACTCCAGGATAAGCTATTGACGTACAGGTCATTAGCCTAGGCTAGTCTAGGCTATTCATCATGATCTCGTCTTACACAAGTAATTTCAGAACGTACTGGAATACAGAGGTCACAGCCAATAGGGGATGGACGCGTGGCGTATGATATCACATCAAAGACAGACAAACTACATGCCGTTGTNTTTTTAGTCCCAGCTTCAGGCCATGATGCTTCAGTTTTTGCTCTCTCTCTCTCTCTCTCTCTCTCTCTCTCTCTCTTGCAGGAATGTGCATAGGTTTTGTACCGGTTCATTCACCATAGATTTTGATAGAATTGGGATTGATGGATTTTGACAGGTCTGTGGAAGAATGGAGTCTACTGTAGCTGGGTGGAATGACCATCTTTTGGTGGAAGATTCCTTTATATCAATATAATATTACACTTAAAAAATTAAATTATTAATTTATAAAAATATAATAATAATTAAAATTAATCTAATTGATGGGACTTTTCTGAAATACCCTATGATGAAGACATNATTTCCGATATGGTTAGCAAACTGAGACCTGAGGCAGTTATTTACTAATTAGTAACTAGTGTCCGGATAGTAACTACAAGATGTAATTATTGACAAGCTCAATGATGTGCCTTTAACATTGATTCTGCTTTCAGGTTGATCTACTTAGAGGTCAGAAATCAGATAGAGTTGATGTCACATTAGCGCCACAAGAGATGGAACTTATGGACAATGTATTACCAGCCAAGTAAGTGGACCCTTTGTTTTTGTTCTTGACCGGTGTTACTGGCTCTCTAAAAGCTATTGCAGGTTCTCCATTCTTTTTTCATGGTAGAGAGTGCCTGAGGCTGTTGTAATTCCAGCAATATCTGCCCATGTTGTTTCACTATCCGGCCATGTTCTGCAGGGTGGTTTATTCTTTGATTGTGTTTTGCAGGTACGAGGAAGCCAGGGAGGAAGAGAAGCTGCGTAGTCAGCGGGAGGATTTCAGTGACATGGTTGCTGAGGTGTGTGTTGTTTTTTAATTTTTGTTCTGTATTTTATCGAGTTTTTGGGAAATTTGTTTAATGAAATGAAACTGGTGCAGATTGCGAATAAGAGGAAGCGGAAGATGCAGGAAAAGGATGGGAAATCGAAGAAAAAGGATTTCAAGTTTTAGACAGTTTTGGTTGCGTAAACTTGATACTAGAAATTCCAGGCCAACCACGATCAAGTCATGGGTGAATCTTACTTAGCTTGAGAGCTATAGGATTTACTGCCCCCTTGGAGCTTATGTTATGACCTCTGTTGTAGTTTTCCCTTAGCTATCTCAAGGACCTACCAGAGGTTGTTGAATCGATGGATTGCAAATATGAGATTCATTTTGTTGTGAAGTTTGGAGAGGGTTAGATGCATATGGTTTATCTGGTCTATGCACTTCTATCATGACTTTCAATTTCCTGACTCATAAAAATAGAGGAAGACCAAACCACCAAAAATAAAGTCATGAAGTGGTGTATACATATTTTTTTTTGGCTATAAGGTGTCTAAGCTTGTGTCGACTAGTCTTTCGAGTTCGGTGGGTGACTTGAGTTCGATTAAAACATGTTCTTAAATGGACAAGGATAGCTAGTTCTTAACAAGCAAATGCAGGGTGGGAGCCCTACTATGGAAGTAAAGATATTAAATCCGGTGAATTTCTTCTTTTTGATTTTCTTCAAGCTAAAAAAAAAAAGAACAAAAGTTCCCTCCATACAAGGATTACTGTATGTTGGTGGCTGTCTAAGGAATCTCTCGTAGACCCGACTCTTCCTCCTTCCCAAGTATTTAAATCAGGGATGAAGCAGCAATGTTGAAGCCCCACCATATGGTAGATACCATCAAAGCTACCACCATGGTTGTAATGATGGGAATGCATATGCATAGAAGTTGAGTATGGTCCATGTCATAGGCCCCATAGCTCTAGAGAGGGGGAATAGAGGGCATTAGTCTGATTTTGCATTCGGTACAAAATTCCCCACTTTGTGCATGAGAAATAAAAGTTTGTCACATGCCTAAAGGAAGAGCAAAAACAATCTATCTGCAGTGGATCATGTACCATTTCTTAGTCATTAAGAAATGGAGAGCCATTAGCAAGTGTGTATATGAGAGAGAGGGGTGTGGATACTGGACCCCCCGGATAAATAATATAATCTACAAATAAACTAGATTAATTTTTTCACCCCAACAGTATTACTGCACAAATCAAAGTGTATCTGTTATAACTTTGTGCGAATCTCACCTGATTCGTCGAGGTGTCAATCGTGTTGTGTTCGTATGACTTACATGTCACGGTTATTTTTGTCGTATTATTGTTATTCGTGTCATATTCATATTAAAATTTACGAAAAAAATAAAAAATTATTTAATGTGTTTTAAATATTAAATATTAATTTAAATTATTTATTATATATATTTAATAATTATATCAATTTTATAATTGTTGGAATGGAATCGGTATCAACAACTCAGAGCCGACACTCCTCTACTCACCACCACTGCACCCCACATACACCAATCAGAACCTCTTGGATTGGACCATAGAAGCTCAAAATTCTACAGATCTTTATTCTCCTTATAATTATTGTTTTTACAGATAGACTGATGGATAGGAATATATATATATATATATATATATAATAAAATAGTTAACAATTTGAACCTCTACCCCAACATATTTTATCCCTAAAATATCATATCACCTCTTTTTATGGTATGTTTAATTATTTAATATTTATTTAATTAATAATTTAAAATAATTTTTATTTTAAATATTATCAATATACGATAATATAGACATAATATAGACATGTTAAAAAATGTTGTCGAATTACGTATCTTGAAAAAATTTTATCGATATTTTTAAAAAACTAATGTAATCAAAGAAATGCATGAGAAAAAAATTGTTAATACGGTGAAATCGATTTTTTAGATGTTCAAATTTTATGTTTTATAATATCTTTAAGAACGAGTTATCAATAATTTATCTATGTAATCAGTGTATAAAAGTACGTTATAATATGAATAATTTTAAAAAAAATATTAATAATCATTAATTAAATATATTTAAATTCGTCGAATAGATTTATTGCATTTTACCCTATTTTATATCGTAGATATACATAATCTCAGACATGCTCAGTTTTGATAACCTTCCCAGGTGTCCAATCTCTTCTTAGCTTCTCACAACACCACACTCTTTCTCTGAAACAAGAGAATTTGACGCTTCTCATACTCCTCAGCTTCATCTCTCTTCCTGCACCAAGATCCAAATGCCAAATCTTTTTAATGTTCCTATAAAAGATAGTTTTCCCTAGAATCTCAATCTCATATACTGATCAGGGTCATCTCTCAATTTGTTAGTACGATCATATAGAAGATCACTCTTATCATTTCTGTGAATTAAAAGATGGATTTGAGTAAGAAACTGTCTTCTGGTGATCATGGGCTTGATTGGAGCCAGAACTCCGTCACACCGGAGCCCCCAAAACCTCTTCCACCGAGGCGGCACCACCACCAACCACCAAAATCAGAGCCTTTGAAGTGTCCAAGGTGTGATTCAACAAACACAAAGTTCTGTTACTTCAACAATTACAACCACTCCCAACCTCGCTATTTCTGCAAAGCTTGTAAGAGGTACTGGACTAAAGGTGGCACTCTCCGCAATGTCCCTGTTGGTGGCGGTCGCAAAAACAAACGGCTCAAGACATCACACGCCGCCGCCGCCANTTATGGTATGTTTAATTATTTAATATTTATTTAATTAATAATTTAAAATAATTTTTATTTTAAATATTATCAATATACGATAATATAGACATAATATAGACATGTTAAAAAATGTTGTCGAATTACGTATCTTGAAAAAATTTTATCGATATTTTTAAAAAACTAATGTAATCAAAGAAATGCATGAGAAAAAAATTGTTAATACGGTGAAATCGATTTTTTAGATGTTCAAATTTTATGTTTTATAATATCTTTAAGAACGAGTTATCAATAATTTATCTATGTAATCAGTGTATAAAAGTACGTTATAATATGAATAATTTTAAAAAAAATATTAATAATCATTAATTAAATATATTTAAATTCGTCGAATAGATTTATTGCATTTTACCCTATTTTATATCGTAGATATACATAATCTCAGACATGCTCAGTTTTGATAACCTTCCCAGGTGTCCAATCTCTTCTTAGCTTCTCACAACACCACACTCTTTCTCTGAAACAAGAGAATTTGACGCTTCTCATACTCCTCAGCTTCATCTCTCTTCCTGCACCAAGATCCAAATGCCAAATCTTTTTAATGTTCCTATAAAAGATAGTTTTCCCTAGAATCTCAATCTCATATACTGATCAGGGTCATCTCTCAATTTGTTAGTACGATCATATAGAAGATCACTCTTATCATTTCTGTGAATTAAAAGATGGATTTGAGTAAGAAACTGTCTTCTGGTGATCATGGGCTTGATTGGAGCCAGAACTCCGTCACACCGGAGCCCCCAAAACCTCTTCCACCGAGGCGGCACCACCACCAACCACCAAAATCAGAGCCTTTGAAGTGTCCAAGGTGTGATTCAACAAACACAAAGTTCTGTTACTTCAACAATTACAACCACTCCCAACCTCGCTATTTCTGCAAAGCTTGTAAGAGGTACTGGACTAAAGGTGGCACTCTCCGCAATGTCCCTGTTGGTGGCGGTCGCAAAAACAAACGGCTCAAGACATCACACGCCGCCGCCGCCACCGCCACCAATAGGGGTAGTCCCATACAACTTGGTGGTCATAAAAACATGTCTGATATTCTTTACCAGGCCTTAATTCCTCCACAGTCTTCATTACAACATGATACAATCAACGCCTTTAATGGGAAAACTTTCATCGGAAGCCAAAATCAAAATTTAAAGTTTTCAATCTCAAATTTGAGCTCTTTTGACGCAAACCCATCTTCAGTATCCACCACTTTTCGATCAATGAATGAGTATGATTTCACTGAAAAGCTTGAAACTATGGAGGATTCAACAATCACCACCACCACCATGTTCAGCTCAAGCAGCAACTTTGTTTCTCAGCCATGGCACATTCTTGACACAAGCAGTGTCATGGAGGTGCCAAACTACTGGAATTGGAAGGATTTCGAGATGTTATCAGCTGATCTTAATATACCTTGGGATGATACTGAGATCAAACCTTAATTATCATTTGGAGTGAGTATGGATCAGTCTGTGTGAATGTTTGTTTGTTTGTTTGTTTCTATTTATTTTTTTTAGTGTTGGCCGTACTATCTAACCATATGGTTCCTTGTATCTATCTACTATCTACCTGTAACTATTTTAGTTATGTATCTTGTTTGAAGCTGTCCTTTTTAGTCCCAGCTTCAGGCCATGATGCTTCAGTTTTTGCTCTCTCTCTCTCTCTCATCTCTTGCAGGAATGTGCATAGGTTTTGTACCGGTTCATTCACCATAGATTTTGATAGAATTGTTTGTTTTTTTTTGGGGTCATGATAGAATTGTTCATTCACCATAGATTTTGATAGAATTGGGATTGATGGATTTTGACAGGTCTGTGGAAGAATGGAGTCTACTGTAGCTGGGTGGAATGACCATCTTTTGGTGGAAGATTCCTTTATATCAATATAATATTACACTTAAAAAATTAAATTATTAATTTATAAAAATATAATAATAATTAAAATTAATCTAATTTTATTTATTTTAATTTAATAATATAAAATTTATTCCCATTTTTTTTCTCACTCAAAGATATCATTTTTACTCATACTCCCAATGTTAGACAATTACGATAATTCACCCCTACACTTCTCTTCTCTCTTTCTTATCTCTCTCTTATTTTATTTTTTTTAATTAAATCTTAAATTATGAGAGTAAAGAGAAAAATGAAAAAATAAATTTTATATGTTGCTCAATCAATGTTGTAAAATTTTTTCAAACACAAAATTATTGCTAGTAGTATAATATTGTATGTTGGGTCTGAAATGTAATTTTTGGTAACGTATTTAGAGAACTTATCGGCCCCTCCATCAAGTTCAGAGTTTGGAATGGAAAAAATGTCTTCCTTTGGTATGATAATTAACACCCCAATGGACCTATTGTATCCATTTTTTTATGAGAGGGTAACATTGGGAGCCAATGAATGTTCTTCCAAAAAGTGTGTGAAAAGGTAGTAATTGGGCGGGTTGGGCTGATTATGAGCCGGTTTAAAATGGATTGGATTCAAAACAAATCTAATCTATTTTTAACACGCTTAATAAATAGATTAGATCATAATAAGTTGAGTTAAAATCATTAACTCGTAAAATAATTAAAAATTTTGATATAAACACATTAATATTCCAAATAAAATACAAAAAAAATACATACAAAACACACACATACACTAACACACAAATATGCATACAAACACTAATACTAACACATCAAAAATATACACATAAAATGGAGTCTTAATCCTAGGCTGACAAAGAGAGAACCACATCANTGTAAGGGGTAGAACCCTCTACTAAGGATTTCGGCTTGACCTGGGTTAACCCACGCGGGCGACCCCCCAGTAGTCTTTACCTCTCTTCGCCAATAGGACCTTTTCCTAAGACAATCCCACATCAGAAGAGAGTCGTCTCCCCCCTGCCATATAAGTGAACACTTCTTATGGAGGAGGTACCCACTAGTAGCACCTGATCAGGTCGCTAGTGGGTACCTCCTCCATAAGAAGTGTTCACTTATATGGCAGGGGGAGACGACTCTATTCCGATGTGGGATTGTCTTAGGAAAGGGTCCTATTGGCGAAGAGAGGTAAAGGCTACTGGGGGGTCGCCCGCGTGGGTTAACCCAGGTCAAGCCGAAATCCTTAGTAGAGGGTTCTACCCCTTACAATCATCTACTGACTACACTGACATCAATCATGAGTTTTTAAGGTATAAATACTCCTTGCAAAAGGCAAAGCGGGTATGCAACAACAAACTCTCTACTACAATACACACGACACACTCAGTGTTTTCTCTTATTTCTCTCTCTCTCTCAAAGACTGACTAGATCGTCAGAGGGGATACGCCGGAAAACACTCCGGCGCCCTTCTAACTTGTTCTTCTTTGTTCCAGGATCTTCTTTCAGCTTTACCGGATCGTTCCTTCCGCTCCCCCAGGGTCTCCCGTTGCCGTTCCAGGTTACCACCAGATCTCGCAGGCTGTTCTAAGCAGCGTGTTTGGTCACTTAACCGGCTCACTCGAGTTCACCAAGGGAGAGATCTGTTCTCGTTTTTTATATTGTGCAGGATCTTGCACGCACACTAATTTTATTTATTTTAATTTAATAATATAAAATTTATTCCCATTTTTTTTCTCACTCAAAGATATCATTTTTACTCATACTCCCAATGTTAGACAATTACGACAATTCACCCCTACACTTCTCTTCTCTCTTTCTTATCTCTCTCTTATTTTATTTTTTTAATTTAATCTTAAATTACGAGAGTAAAGAGAAAAATGAAAAAATAAATTTTATATGTTGCTCAATCAATGTTGTAAAATATTTTCAAACACAAAATTATTGCTAGTAGTATAATATTGTATGTTGGGTCTGATTATGGGATTGAAATGTAATTTTTGGTAACGTATTTAGAGAACTTATCAGCCCCTCCATCAAGTTCAGAGTTTGGAATGGAAAAAATGTCTTCCTTTGGTATGATAATTAACTCCCCAATGGACCTATTGTATCCATTTTTTTATGAGAGGGTAACATTGGGAGCCAATGAATGTTCTTCCAAAAAGTGTGTGTAAAGGTAGTAATTGGGCGGGTTGGGCTGATTATGAGCCGGTTTAAAATGGATTGGATTCAAAACAAATCTAATCTATTTTTAACACGCTTAATAAATAGATTAGATCATAATAAGTTGAGTTAAAATCATTAACTCGTAAAATAATTAAAAATTTTGATATAAACACATTAATATTCCAAATAAAATACAAAAAAAATACATACAAAACACACACATACACTAACACACAAATATGCATACAAACACTAATACTAACACATCAAAAATATACACATAAAATGGAGTCTTAATCCTAGGCTGACAAAGAGAGAACCACATCATGCTACTATGATCCTTATCATGAATAGCTACCTAGCTGTTAGGAAATGGTGGGTTTTGTCGGAGAATCAGTGTTGTGGTTGTGCTACAGGATGGCGGCTCATTTTTTCAACAGGAGGATAAAACTAAACAAGTACCTTTTCGAATGCACACAAAACAAAACTAAGAACATACTAAAAATGTTAAATCATCATCGCAATACAGTCCAATATACTTGTTGGTGGATCCTGATGCAGATTCTGATATTCTAGTTGCCCATATTTATATGACAAGTAAAATCTATGAAACAAAATACCAAAATTTCTTCTTCTCTCGGGCTGGGTTCAGTTGTAGGTTCCCATCCTTATTCCGGTCTCCCTGCTATTCGGAAGGTACCCATCATCAGCCTTTGAGTAGCTAACATAATAAAGCTCAGAGATTATGCCAGTGAAAACTATGAATGCAGCCCCTGCTCCAAAGACTCCTTTCCTCAAGATCTCACAAGAAGGAGGATCGTCTGAGAAACGAGTCCTGTACTTGGTGTGGTATGCGTTCCTCACAGAACCCGCCAGCAAGCACACCTCAGCAATAAAAAACGAAGCCCTGAAATATCATTGATGGAATGTTAATCTTGAATTGAATAGAAAACAGCATACTTCCAAAGGAGGACAGCAATTTTATAGCATATCAAGACTGCATGTTTGTACTACAAGGGTTTCTGCCTATGTGGTATCACCTGCACCTATGACAGTGTAGGCATATGGACATGCGGTTTTTTTTTTTGGGGGGGGGAGGGGGGGAGAATATTTCCATGAGCAACATACACTCAAACTCAATTCAAAGGGTTCTAATTATTTTGGGATAAGCACATACCAACAACTGATGAATAGAACAATTGCCCATGCCCTTGAACGACCTGGTTTCAAAGCCCTCCCACAGCACAAGCATCGACTTGCCACCATTATAAGGAGCTGACTAGCTATAAGGAACAACAAGGACCCCACAGCCAAGCCAGTTGCAATATCCGAATCATACAGGCAATAGTTAGAATCTGTAGTTTTCATGATTTTAGCCTGTTGATCAAGATGTCAATAAATGAGTCCCATACCTTGCCTAAACCAATAGAGAAATTAAAATTTGTGTGCCTCAGCAATTATTTGGAACACCACAGAGCTGAGATTTTCTCTATCTCCAAGAACCAAGGGTTTAGAACTTCTGAATACCCGACTTACCACCGCTCTTCCAATAAAGAAGTACCTAATAAACAGGTAACAAAAACAAAAATAATATGGTGCCAACACCTCTCACCATCCCCAACCTAAAAATAGAAATGGATGTGCTAGTTATTTCTTAAATAGGAGGATGACTCTAAGACATACCGCTTGGTATTTTTAATGCATTCAGTGATCATTTCTTGCGGACATTTCCTTTATTTGTAATTTGGCCCACTAAAATGCCATTTTACTTTAAGAACCCCGCTTCCACTCTATTTTAAAATATCATCAAAGCACAAGGTGCTGCCTCCGTGGCAATTTGAACTCCCACTACGTACTGCATGGCACATGCTTGGTAGTTACGCACCAAAATGAAGTTTGTGTATTTATATTTGCAACTGAATTAGGATGATACTAATGTTCCAAAAGGTGTCCCATGCCACCAATGGGGGCCAGTATGGAAGATTCAGAGTGGACACATCATTTTACATAATCTTTGATCCAAATTTCAAGTCAAACGCCTTGCAAGATTCATTTTGAAATCTTAAATGTTCAAGGTTCTCGAATAGTTGAGTGTGTGGTTAATATGCTGCCACTTCCAGCTATCCAAGTTTTTAGAAACAAGAATCGGGACCTTGTAAGTTCGTTATATCATCATCTAATATTTTTCAATATTACTATTTCCAAATCGTTAAATCTTTTAAAACAAAAAGACAAAAGCCTTCCCCAAGAAAATAAGACGAAAAAATGCATTCTTCTCACTTCCACTATTAACACTACTGCTACAACCAACCCCAGCACCAGCTACACCACTTCCACATGCCATCACCAACATGACTATTGACTCTGTCATTATGCTCTTTCCATAATTATTACTATTGTCATCACCACTACTCCCTCCATCACAACAAGCACCTCCATGATTTCCTAAGAATTCAACTTACTCATGCAAATGTATTTTTTCTTGCAAATGTATTTTTGTTTTTTCTTGGCAGAGGATGTTAGAGATCTAAATGTGGGTTGACTGTTTTATAAATGTCTTTACACATGAGATGAGCGACTATCAATTATTATAATTACTAGAAAAGGGGAAAGACAGGCAAAAAGGGTAAACTAGCAGGTCACTTTGTAGTTTTACACATAATAACAAAGAATACGAAACAAACCAGCTCTTCATTCTTCAACTTTTCCATGCCTAAATTTTAGCTGAATTCATAGTAGCTAGTAGAAACTGCCAATATATGGTGCTGGTCAGCCTTTTGAGGATTGAGAGGACGAAATTTTTAGTGTACTAGCTGAAATATTAGAGTTGTGAAGGTGCAATGTGGTGAACAATCAAGAAAGAAAATAATCAAGAACAAGAACATGAGATTTACATAGTTTGGTAGAAATTCTACCTACATCCACTGGAGCGGCTGTTTTTCACTATGTATCATAATCCCATATTGTTATAGCATATTTATAGGCACCAATTAATATCCCTAATCCTGGTCCAACTAGAAAACCAAATCCTAATAAATCTAATACACCCAATTATGGTAAAACCCCTTTACCCTAGTCACTTCACTCCGCCTACTAGCCTATTGATTTTTCGTCCTAGTGAATATGATCCACCCATTATTCCCAAAAGTTAGTGTTGTCTATGCTTTATTTTAGTTGATGAACAGCATCCCGTTTCTTTATCAGAGGAATTTTCTGTTGTATATCCAGATTGTGTTGGTAGACTATGCGCCTAATCACCATTCTGCAATGTTACTCAACGCATTTTCTTTTTTCATAGTAGATACCAAGTAGGATGTACCAAATTCTCACCCTTTGGGGGAGGGGGAGGTCAAAGCAATTTATATAAAATGTAGGATCTATGTCTAAATCCCACTTCATTACCACTCCAAATTAGCAGATAGATAAACAGAAAAATTCAGACATTAAGAATGCCCAAGTAGAAAGAGCAGCCGNCAAAGACTGACTAGATCGTCAGAGGGGATACGCCGGAAAACACTCCGGCGCCCTTCTAACTTGTTCTTCTTTGTTCCAGGATCTTCTTTCAGCTTTACCGGATCGTTCCTTCCGCTCCCCCAGGGTCTCCCGTTGCCGTTCCAGGTTACCACCAGATCTCGCAGGCTGTTCTAAGCAGCGTGTTTGGTCACTTAACCGGCTCACTCGAGTTCACCAAGGGAGAGATCTGTTCTCGTTTTTTATATTGTGCAGGATCTTGCACGCACACTAATTTTATTTATTTTAATTTAATAATATAAAATTTATTCCCATTTTTTTTCTCACTCAAAGATATCATTTTTACTCATACTCCCAATGTTAGACAATTACGACAATTCACCCCTACACTTCTCTTCTCTCTTTCTTATCTCTCTCTTATTTTATTTTTTTAATTTAATCTTAAATTACGAGAGTAAAGAGAAAAATGAAAAAATAAATTTTATATGTTGCTCAATCAATGTTGTAAAATATTTTCAAACACAAAATTATTGCTAGTAGTATAATATTGTATGTTGGGTCTGATTATGGGATTGAAATGTAATTTTTGGTAACGTATTTAGAGAACTTATCAGCCCCTCCATCAAGTTCAGAGTTTGGAATGGAAAAAATGTCTTCCTTTGGTATGATAATTAACTCCCCAATGGACCTATTGTATCCATTTTTTTATGAGAGGGTAACATTGGGAGCCAATGAATGTTCTTCCAAAAAGTGTGTGTAAAGGTAGTAATTGGGCGGGTTGGGCTGATTATGAGCCGGTTTAAAATGGATTGGATTCAAAACAAATCTAATCTATTTTTAACACGCTTAATAAATAGATTAGATCATAATAAGTTGAGTTAAAATCATTAACTCGTAAAATAATTAAAAATTTTGATATAAACACATTAATATTCCAAATAAAATACAAAAAAAATACATACAAAACACACACATACACTAACACACAAATATGCATACAAACACTAATACTAACACATCAAAAATATACACATAAAATGGAGTCTTAATCCTAGGCTGACAAAGAGAGAACCACATCATGCTACTATGATCCTTATCATGAATAGCTACCTAGCTGTTAGGAAATGGTGGGTTTTGTCGGAGAATCAGTGTTGTGGTTGTGCTACAGGATGGCGGCTCATTTTTTCAACAGGAGGATAAAACTAAACAAGTACCTTTTCGAATGCACACAAAACAAAACTAAGAACATACTAAAAATGTTAAATCATCATCGCAATACAGTCCAATATACTTGTTGGTGGATCCTGATGCAGATTCTGATATTCTAGTTGCCCATATTTATATGACAAGTAAAATCTATGAAACAAAATACCAAAATTTCTTCTTCTCTCGGGCTGGGTTCAGTTGTAGGTTCCCATCCTTATTCCGGTCTCCCTGCTATTCGGAAGGTACCCATCATCAGCCTTTGAGTAGCTAACATAATAAAGCTCAGAGATTATGCCAGTGAAAACTATGAATGCAGCCCCTGCTCCAAAGACTCCTTTCCTCAAGATCTCACAAGAAGGAGGATCGTCTGAGAAACGAGTCCTGTACTTGGTGTGGTATGCGTTCCTCACAGAACCCGCCAGCAAGCACACCTCAGCAATAAAAAACGAAGCCCTGAAATATCATTGATGGAATGTTAATCTTGAATTGAATAGAAAACAGCATACTTCCAAAGGAGGACAGCAATTTTATAGCATATCAAGACTGCATGTTTGTACTACAAGGGTTTCTGCCTATGTGGTATCACCTGCACCTATGACAGTGTAGGCATATGGACATGCGGTTTTTTTTTTTGGGGGGGGGAGGGGGGGAGAATATTTCCATGAGCAACATACACTCAAACTCAATTCAAAGGGTTCTAATTATTTTGGGATAAGCACATACCAACAACTGATGAATAGAACAATTGCCCATGCCCTTGAACGACCTGGTTTCAAAGCCCTCCCACAGCACAAGCATCGACTTGCCACCATTATAAGGAGCTGACTAGCTATAAGGAACAACAAGGACCCCACAGCCAAGCCAGTTGCAATATCCGAATCATACAGGCAATAGTTAGAATCTGTAGTTTTCATGATTTTAGCCTGTTGATCAAGATGTCAATAAATGAGTCCCATACCTTGCCTAAACCAATAGAGAAATTAAAATTTGTGTGCCTCAGCAATTATTTGGAACACCACAGAGCTGAGATTTTCTCTATCTCCAAGAACCAAGGGTTTAGAACTTCTGAATACCCGACTTACCACCGCTCTTCCAATAAAGAAGTACCTAATAAACAGGTAACAAAAACAAAAATAATATGGTGCCAACACCTCTCACCATCCCCAACCTAAAAATAGAAATGGATGTGCTAGTTATTTCTTAAATAGGAGGATGACTCTAAGACATACCGCTTGGTATTTTTAATGCATTCAGTGATCATTTCTTGCGGACATTTCCTTTATTTGTAATTTGGCCCACTAAAATGCCATTTTACTTTAAGAACCCCGCTTCCACTCTATTTTAAAATATCATCAAAGCACAAGGTGCTGCCTCCGTGGCAATTTGAACTCCCACTACGTACTGCATGGCACATGCTTGGTAGTTACGCACCAAAATGAAGTTTGTGTATTTATATTTGCAACTGAATTAGGATGATACTAATGTTCCAAAAGGTGTCCCATGCCACCAATGGGGGCCAGTATGGAAGATTCAGAGTGGACACATCATTTTACATAATCTTTGATCCAAATTTCAAGTCAAACGCCTTGCAAGATTCATTTTGAAATCTTAAATGTTCAAGGTTCTCGAATAGTTGAGTGTGTGGTTAATATGCTGCCACTTCCAGCTATCCAAGTTTTTAGAAACAAGAATCGGGACCTTGTAAGTTCGTTATATCATCATCTAATATTTTTCAATATTACTATTTCCAAATCGTTAAATCTTTTAAAACAAAAAGACAAAAGCCTTCCCCAAGAAAATAAGACGAAAAAATGCATTCTTCTCACTTCCACTATTAACACTACTGCTACAACCAACCCCAGCACCAGCTACACCACTTCCACATGCCATCACCAACATGACTATTGACTCTGTCATTATGCTCTTTCCATAATTATTACTATTGTCATCACCACTACTCCCTCCATCACAACAAGCACCTCCATGATTTCCTAAGAATTCAACTTACTCATGCAAATGTATTTTTTCTTGCAAATGTATTTTTGTTTTTTCTTGGCAGAGGATGTTAGAGATCTAAATGTGGGTTGACTGTTTTATAAATGTCTTTACACATGAGATGAGCGACTATCAATTATTATAATTACTAGAAAAGGGGAAAGACAGGCAAAAAGGGTAAACTAGCAGGTCACTTTGTAGTTTTACACATAATAACAAAGAATACGAAACAAACCAGCTCTTCATTCTTCAACTTTTCCATGCCTAAATTTTAGCTGAATTCATAGTAGCTAGTAGAAACTGCCAATATATGGTGCTGGTCAGCCTTTTGAGGATTGAGAGGACGAAATTTTTAGTGTACTAGCTGAAATATTAGAGTTGTGAAGGTGCAATGTGGTGAACAATCAAGAAAGAAAATAATCAAGAACAAGAACATGAGATTTACATAGTTTGGTAGAAATTCTACCTACATCCACTGGAGCGGCTGTTTTTCACTATGTATCATAATCCCATATTGTTATAGCATATTTATAGGCACCAATTAATATCCCTAATCCTGGTCCAACTAGAAAACCAAATCCTAATAAATCTAATACACCCAATTATGGTAAAACCCCTTTACCCTAGTCACTTCACTCCGCCTACTAGCCTATTGATTTTTCGTCCTAGTGAATATGATCCACCCATTATTCCCAAAAGTTAGTGTTGTCTATGCTTTATTTTAGTTGATGAACAGCATCCCGTTTCTTTATCAGAGGAATTTTCTGTTGTATATCCAGATTGTGTTGGTAGACTATGCGCCTAATCACCATTCTGCAATGTTACTCAACGCATTTTCTTTTTTCATAGTAGATACCAAGTAGGATGTACCAAATTCTCACCCTTTGGGGGAGGGGGAGGTCAAAGCAATTTATATAAAATGTAGGATCTATGTCTAAATCCCACTTCATTACCACTCCAAATTAGCAGATAGATAAACAGAAAAATTCAGACATTAAGAATGCCCAAGTAGAAAGAGCAGCCGTTTGGGGGGCTGAAAATACCAAAGTTTCAGAGGTACAATACAACAGAAAAAAGTAATTCACTATCAAAATCTGGTTTTGACCTTTCTTGAAGAGAGTTTCTTCATCACAACTTGTAGTTTCCACACCATAATCCAAAGGGGGTATAGTTATATGTAACAACTTCTTGTATTTCAAGGACTTCACCAGGTATTCATTAAAAAATGAGTTAATGTATACAGGAAGTTATATTACAGAATTAGTCAATTGAGGATTCTTCTAAATCATCCATATTGAGAAAACTCACAAACCCATTTACCAATTACTACTTGATGTTAGATATAACAATTTGTCCCCTAATTTGCATTAAAAATTAAGAATTTAGGAAATTACGAACCATATATAATGAACTACCTATGAATCATGAAACCCACAACAATAAATACTAACTAAACCAGCATATATCATGAAAATAAAGCAGAAAGAGATAAAACAAGGAAACAAAGAAAAAAAGAGAAGCATAGAGACAACTCACTGTAGCCCTCCTCTGCTCAGCTGCAACAGCAAGTGCAAAAGCAACCAGATCAAAGACAAAAACCACCACCAATACCAGTGTTGAAGCCATTAGAGCAGTTTTCTCACAATACCCACCCCCTCTCTCTCTCTCTCTCCAGAACAAAAAAGATATATAAGCGTTACAAGAAGAAATGCAGTGAAAATTAAACACGGAAATAACAGATGTAATTGAACACAAAACACTACTCACTGAAACGCTCAGTGATGAGGTTGATTGTATGAATACTGGTTGGAGTTGGAATATTAAAGAACTAGTTTTTACAACTTTCCCTCTTCTTCAAGCCAAAGGTAGCGTGATTCGCTCGCTTTCTCTCACTTGCTATTTTTTATATAGAAAAAATAAAAAAGAGTAAATTACGTACAGACCCCTAATTAATTGTCCTATCTTCGAAGACACCCCGTCAATTTTATCTGAAATTTCGCTGACACTCTTTCTAATATTTATCCCCTAACGAGGGTAACAAAAATGATTCTTTTACGTATTTGCCCATTTCCAACTTAAATATTGTGACTAATGTATGTATAATATATATTTACAATATAAAAATTCACTGATCACCACCATCCACCACATCTACGACCAATGATCCACCATTCATCCCAAGTCAATGTTTATTCCCCCCCCCCCTCTCTCTCTCTCTCCATTCTCTATCTTCCTAGATAGCAGTGGCAACTCAACACCATTCATGAGCACTACCACTTTCTACTTCTCCCACATAGCCACACCTCACTACACCACCCTTGAGCACCGCCACTTAGTTAGGAAAACACACGCTTCAGCCAATTTGGCTAGAAAAGGACTACTCGAATAAAGAATGGAATTAAGACAAATACAGATACAGATATGAAGCATAAATTTTTTTATTCTTAGTGATAATTGTAATTTGATCGACATTCAATTGGTGAAGGTGGTGGCAACAACTCCAAATGGTAAAGGTTGGGGTGGTAGCAGCTCCTGGCAGATGGCGGTGGGTGGGAGGGGAGCTTGGTCTCTGAGGTTTTTTTTTTTGTAAATTTGGTATTTAAGAAATATTGGAAGGAAATCAACACTTTGTTGGGGTGTAACCAATAATTAGCTAAGATAAGGGGGTGAATATGAAATGTGCAAGTAAATTAGAGAGGAGCGGATATAGTATTAAAAAAACACACATATCCATACTCTCTCTCTCTCTCTCTCTCTCTTTGTGCACGAAACATTCTCAGTGGTCAGTGGCCAGAGGTCACGTGCGAGCCAACGGTTATCACTACATGCAAAGTGATAGAAAATTAATGGCAACCCAAAAGAAATGATAAAAGTGCCGGCTCATACACGGCACGTGATTGACAACTATATTCTAACCCTCCTCCATTTTGGCGGCATGGAATTTAATGACAAATAATACTTTACACCCCGAAAGATTTTCCCATTCTTAATTTACATCCTAAAAAAAATTAAATTCTTAAATTACTCTTTTTTTGGTACATCAATAAATCTACAAATAAGTCACTCCATATATCCTCTAAAAAACATTACCTATCCCTCATCACTACACATCTATTTATAGGACAGACCTACGGTAAAACCGAAGCAAAACACTCACCTTATACTCTAGACGCTAACGAATAAATTTAATCTCACCAAACTATCAATTGTAAACTTGAATCAAAATATTAAATAAAAAAAATTAAAATTTTATTCACAAGACCAACGTTCGGTAGTTTATATTACACTCAATCAAACAAAAAAGTTACAATGTGCTCCATTTAAAAATTATATATAAAATACAAAATTTCTAGTAAAATCACTTTAATTTGAGTATTGTACTAATAATTATGTATATAAATAAAATAATATGACAAATACAATAAAAAATTTACCGGAGACGACAAGGAACATTTAGTTTTGGACTATATTACAACATTTTTTCTGATTGAATGTGTAATGCAAAATTTTAATCTTCATGATACAAATTGAAAATTTTAAGACCTTTTAGAGTGTAAAATATCATTTAACCGAACATTTAAATGCAAAAGTGGGTATTGGGTCGGGCTGGGTCATCCAAAAGAAGAACGACCCATAATCTCTTCGTCGGGTCAGTCCAAAATAACCTTAGGAGTATAAGATATTATCATCGAAATTTTCTATCAAATAATAGATTACCCACCATGATTTAATGCGAGACAAAAATGTATCAGATGGGATCTCGACCCGTGTACCACCATATGGAAACTCTGACAATTCATGACAATACACCCAAGAAAAATTAAATTAAATAGCAGGCAAGGCATATTTGCCAAACAGATCAAAAGAGTGAACTATAACATACAACTGAATTTGTTGAACACACACAGGTGGTGTAAACCACAAATCATTAGAGCACTCTGGCTGACAATCTCTACACTTCCACACCTCTGCCGCAAAATCAAGGTGAGGATAAAAATTTCCGAGCCGAGTTTCGTCCCACCCCACCGGGAGTGCATGATCCCTACACAGAAAGGCAAACTGCTTCTTCATAATCACGCCCTAGATGCANTTAAATTCTTAAATTACTCTTTTTTTGGTACATCAATAAATCTACAAATAAGTCACTCCATATATCCTCTAAAAAACATTACCTATCCCTCATCACTACACATCTATTTATAGGACAGACCTACGGTAAAACCGAAGCAAAACACTCACCTTTTACTCTAGACGCTAACGAATAAATTTAATCTCACCAAACTATCAATTGTAAACTTGAATCAAAATATTAAATAAAAAAAATTAAAATTTTATTCACAAGACCAACGTTCGGTAGTTTATATTACACTCAATCAAACAAAAAAGTTGCAATGTGCTCCATTTAAAAAATATATATAAAATACAAAATTTCTAGTAAAATCACTTTAATTTGAGTATTGTACTAATAATTATGTATATAAATAAAATAATATGACAAATACAATAAAAAATTTACCGGAGACGACAAGGAAAATTTAGTTTTGGACTATATTACAACATTTTTTCTGATTGAATGTGTAATGCAAAATTTTAATCTTCATGATATAAATTGAAAATTTTAAGACCTTTTAGAGTGTAAAATATCATTTAACCGAACATTTAAATGCAAAAGTGGGTATTGGGTCGGGCTGGGTCATCCAAAAGAAGAACGACCCATAATCTCTTCGTCGGGTCAGTCCAAAATAACCTTAGGAGTATAAGATATTATCATCGAAATTTTCTATCAAATAATAGATTACCCACCATGATTTAATGCGAGACAAAAATGTATCAGATGGGATCTCGACCCGTGTACCACCATATGGAAACTCTGACAATTCATGACAATACACCCAAGAAAAATTAAATTAAATAGCAGGCAAGGCATATTTGCCAAACAGATCAAAAGAGTGAACTATAACATACAACTGAATTTGTTGAACACACACAGGTGGTGTAAACCACAAATCATTAGAGCACTCTGGCTGACAATCTCTACACTTCCACACCTCTGCCGCAAAATCAAGGTGAGGATAAAAATTTCCAAGCCGAGTTTCGTCCCACCCCACCGGGAGTGCATGATCCCTACACAAAGGCATACTGCTTCTTCATAATCACGCCCTAGATGCTTCTCTTCGCGTACAAGATTAGGCTCAGGCATTACCAGAATGTACAATGAATCGTACTTTGATCATGCCCCAAAGATTTCTTCCTAAAAAGGTTCAATTGACCCACTTTTGAGCCTTTCCATCCGTGCTTGCAACCCCGATAATGCCTTTTCATCCATGGGAAGAACGCCGCTCTGCATAGGATTCTCTGTACTGGCCCGTTCTGTGCCATGAGGAAGCTGATTAGACAGTCCATGGCCTACATTGCCATTCATGGGTATTAATGTCCTGTTTCCAGATTCTGGGTTCCCAGCAGCCGCTGCTAACTGGATACTCTTCATCCTCTCACGTATTGCATCTAGCGTTCCACTGGTAACTGCAACTATGAAATTAACTTTCAGAGTCGGATCTTTCATTATAACATAAACAAAAAGTGAAACTGAAGATGAATGGTGGCAGTGTAAGTAACCTCCGGATGGAAATCTATCGTGCCGAATCTCTGACTGATCAGATAATGGACCCCTTGAAGATACCCTCTCATCTTCAGCATAAGATGGGGGTAAACTGAAGTTTGTGGGTTCAACTTTAAAGTTTACGGATTTTGCATCATTTAGTGGATTTGTATTTACAGGTGACAGAGGCGCAAATTTTGGGGAAGAAAAGTTTATGGCTGCTGGGGGTGGGGTTGCCAGAGGTAAACTTGAAGGCGTCCTTCCAGCAGCTGCATTCTTCTCCATCTGCAATAAGATGAGCAGCAGCTGCTCATAAACAGAATGCCCTAATAGTTTCCCAGAAAATAAAAAGAAGACATGGTGCTGAACATGTCAATGCAGACCTGGGCTAGACCATCCCTAATGTATGTTCGAAATGCCTCACTTGCATTTTGGAGCTGAGCAAATATATCAACCTGAAACAAATAGCAAAAACTAAATCTAATGAATGAATAAACACTGCAGAGATGTAAACCATTTTCTGTAATTTACACAACATCCCATAAAGTTCAGAAGGAAAAACAATAATTGCATGCATCTTTTGTCTGATGCCTCAAACAGGTCTTTTACCTTTGGATATAATTGGGTGATCCGATAGAGTTCATATAGACCAATGGTGCATGTTTGCTTGTCACCAATTTTCTTAAATATTGCTGCAAGTTCTTGCTGGAAGAGGCACAAAATACAAGAAAATTATATAAAAAAGAAAAATCAAACAGAAGGACAAAACTAACCATTTACCAAATAACAAGAAAAAAAAAAGATATCAGAGGGAAGAATGTATTGAAATAGCATTCGTAGTAGCTGAATATTGTGCTATCAAACAAATAAGATATGCGCAAGGATACCTTCAACTGGGCATCTGCTGAATGATTGGCAGGTGAGGAATTGTTGGCAACTGAATCACCCCAATGAGTTTGCCCAACAGGCCCAGACGGTGTCAACATTCTTGCCGCAGCCAAAGTCTGGCAATGTTAAACAACTATATATGAGCACAACAGAGTAAAAAAGACCAGCATCAAGCCCTAGCATTAAGTATATTCTGAGTACCTGAAGATTGAGATCGATGTAGGCAAGAATGATTGGTTGAGGTTCCATGTCAATTGGAACCATAGAAAGATGCCCCTTTATTGCGGTCCCACGAAGCTTAACAAGCTCATGCAGAACGGTTTTAACCATACGCAACGGTTTGTCATCAGCTCCCGCTCTATTAGTAAATAAAAAAGTGAATAGTTGAAGAGTCAATAAAAACACATCGTGTCGAGCAGCCAAGTATAACACTCAACTCATGGCATAGGAAGAAAAAATAAATAAATAGATACCTTCTCCTAATTTCTTCCATCCCTAGTTCTTGCAGGTATACATGGATGCTTTGAAGGATGCGGTCAAGGTCAACCTCGTATATAGTACTTTGAAGAACCTACATCATAGGGCAGCGAGTCAGACAACTACCTAGCAATGGAAGCCAAGGCAACTCTTTTATGCAAAAAAAATCCACATGCCAATAGATCATGTCAGATGGACACTTACGTATTCCAAAGACAAAGCTCAAGAAAGTGCAGACATCATTCTAATAAAACAATATCAAATAAAATGTTGACCGACACAAGTACAACTCCCGAAAAATGTTTCTTATAAATGGAAACATATTGTTGTGCCTGTCATGTGCCTAAGTTTATGGCACTGTACACTAGGTTTCTGTGAAACGAAGTTTCCNTTTACATCCTAAAAAAAATTAAATTCTTAAATTACTCTTTTTTTGGTACATCAATAAATCTACAAATAAGTCACTCCATATATCCGCTAAAAAACATTACCTATCCCTCAACACTACACATCTATTTATAGGACAGACCTACGGTAAAACCGAAGCAAAACACTCACCTTTTACTCTAGACGCTAACGAATAAATTTAATCTCACCAAACTATCAATTGTAAACTTGAATCAAAATATTAAATAAAAAAAATTAAAATTTTATTCACAAGACCAACGTTCGGTAGTTTATATTACACTCAATCAAACAAAAAAGTTACAATGTGCTCCATTTAAAAATTATATATAAAATACAAAATTTCTAGTAAAATCACTTTAATTTGAGTATTGTACTAATAATTATGTATATAAATAAAATAATATGACAAATACAATAAAAAATTTACCGGAGACGACAAGGAAAATTTAGTTTTGGACTATATTACAACATTTTTTCTGATTGAATGTGTAATGCAAAATTTTAATCTTCATGATACAAATTGAAAATTTTAAGACCTTTTAGAGTGTAAAATATCATTTAACCGAACATTTAAATGCAAAAGTGGGTATTGGGTCGGGCTGGGTCATCCAAAAGAAGAACGACCCATAATCTCTTCGTCGGGTCAGTCCAAAATAACCTTAGGAGTATAAGATATTATCATCGAAATTTTCTATCAAATAATAGATTACCCACCATGATTTAATGCGAGACAAAAATGTATCAGATGGGATCTCGACCCGTGTACCACCATATGGAAACTCTGACAATTCATGACAATACACCCAAGAAAAATTAAATTAAATAGCAGGCAAGGCATATTTGCCAAACAGATCAAAAGAGTGAACTATAACATACAACTGAATTTGTTGAACACACACAGGTGGTGTAAACCACAAATCATTAGAGCACTCTGGCTGACAATCTCTACACTTCCACACCTCTGCCGCAAAATCAAGGTGAGGATAAAAATTTCCGAGCCGAGTTTCGTCCCACCCCACCGGGAGTGCATGATCCCTACACAGAAAGGCAAACTGCTTCTTCATAATCACGCCCTAGATGCATCTCTTCGCGTACAAGATTAGGCTCAGGCATTACCAGAATGTACAATGAATCGTACTTTGATCATGCCCCAAAGATTTCTTCCTAAAAAGGTTCAATTGACCCACTTTTGAGCCTTTCCATCCGTGCTTGCAACCCCGATAATGCCTTTTCATCCATGGGAAGAACGCCGCTCTGCATAGGATTCTCGGTACTGGCCCGTTCTGTGCCATGAGGAAGCTGATTAGACAGTCCATGGCCTACATTGCCATTCATGGGTATTAATGTCCTGTTTCCAGATTCTGGGTTCCCAGCAGCCGCTGCTAACTGGATACTCTTCATCCTCTCACGTATTGCATCTAGCGTTCCACTGGTAACTGCAACTATGAAATTAACTTTCAGAGTCGGATCTTTCATTATAACATAAACGAAAAGTGAAACTGAAGATGAATGGTGGCAGTGTAAGTAACCTCCGGATGGAAATCTATCGTGCCGAATCTCTGACTGATCAGATAATGGACCCCTTGAAGATACCCTCTCATCTTCAGCATAAGATGGGGGTAAACTGAAGTTTGTGGGTTCAACTTTAAAGTTTACGGATTTTGCATCATTTAGTGGATTTGTATTTACAGGTGACAGAGGCGCAAATTTTGGGGAAGAAAAGTTTATGGCAGCTGGGGGTGGGGTTGCCAGAGGTAAACTTGAAGGCGTCCTTCCAGCAGCTGCATTCTTCTCCATCTGCAATAAGATGAGCAGCAGCTGCTCATAAACAGAATGCCCTAATAGTTTCCCAGAAAATAAAAAGAAGACATGGTGCTGAACATGTCAATGCAGACCTGGGCTAGACCATCCCTAATGTATGTTCGAAATGCCTCACTTGCATTTTGGAGCTGAGCAAATATATCAACCTGAAACAAATAGCAAAAACTAAATCTAATGAATGAATAAACACTGCAGAGATGTAAACCATTTTCTGTAATTTACACAACATCCCATAAAGTTCAGAAGGAAAAACAATAATTGCATGCATCTTTTGTCTGATGCCTCAAACAGGTCTTTTACCTTTGGATATAATTGGGTGATCCGATAGAGTTCATATAGACCAATGGTGCATGTTTGCTTGTCACCAATTTTCTTAAATATTGCTGCAAGTTCTTGCTGGAAGAGGCACAAAATACAAGAAAATTATATAAAAAAGANGAGTTCATATAGACCAATGGTGCATGTTTGCTTGTCACCAATTTTCTTAAATATTGCAGCAAGTTCTTGCTGGAAGAGGCACAAAATACAAGAAAATTATATAAAAAAGCAAAATCAAACAGAAGGACAAAACTAACCATTTACCAAATAACAAGAAAAAAAAAAGATATCAGAGGGAAGAATGTATTGAAATAGCATTCGTAGTAGCTGAATATTGTGCTATCAAACAAATAAGATATGCGCAAGGATACCTTCAACTGGGCATCTGCTGAATGATTGGCAGGTGAGGAATTGTTGGCAACTGAATCACCCCAATGAGTTTGCCCAACAGGCCCAGACGGTGTCAACATTCTTGCCGCAGCCAAAGTCTGGCAATGTTAAACAACTGTATATGAGCACAACAGAGTAAAAAAGACCAGCATCAAGCCCTAGCATTAAGTATATTCTGAGTACCTGAAGATTGAGATCGATGTAGGCAAGAATGATTGGTTGAGGTTCCATGTCAATTGGAACCATAGAAAGATGCCCCTTTATTGCGGTCCCACGAAGCTTAACAAGCTCATGCAGAACGGTTTTAACCATACGCAACGGTTTGTCATCAGCTCCCGCTCTATTAGTAAATAAAAAAGTGAATAGTTGAAGAGTCAATAAAAACACATCGTGTCGAGCAGCCAAGTATAACACTCAACTCATGGCATAGGAAGAAAAAATAAATAAATAGATACCTTCTCCTAATTTCTTCCATCCCTAGTTCTTGCAGGTATACATGGATGCTTTGAAGGATGCGGTCAAGGTCAACCTCGTATATAGTACTTTGAAGAACCTACATCATAGGGCAGCGAGTCAGACAACTACCTAGCAATGGAAGCCAAGGCAACTCTTTTATGCAAAAAAATCCACATGCCAATAGATCATGTCAGATGGACACTTACGTATTCCAAAGACAAAGCTCAAGAAAGTGCAGACATCATTCTAATAAAACAATATCAAATAAAATGTTGACTGACACAAGTACAACTCCCGAAAAATGTTTCTTATAAATGGAAACATATTGTTGTGCCTGTCATGTGCCTAAGTTTATGGCACTGTACACTAGGTTTCTGTGAAACGAAGTTTCCTTATAAATGGAAACATATTGTTGTGCCTGTCATGTGCCTAAGTTTATGGCACTGTACACTAGGTTTCTGTGAAACGAAGTTTCCGACAAAGGACTGAATCAAAATGCTAGTGTAACTGTTCATGCTGATGAAGTAGTTGGACAAGCACCAAGTAAGATAGATATAAAAATTTTTAAAATGTCCCCAGTGAAGAAGGCCTTTGCCTGTAAAGGGGGTTGGTAGGTACTCACTATTACTCTGAAGAGGTTGATTTCTGGACTCAAACCCACAATGTATCGCTTGGGCTGATGAGCACCTGACTTTATCCAGATATTAATTACCCAAGATCATAACTGACAATGGCAATTTGGTCTCATTGCACTTCAACATCCCCAGTCTCAACAATTTGTATACAAGTGCACTGTTTAAATATCTAATAAACAACTACATAGATGTGCCTGTTGATTAGAGATACTACACATGCAAAAGAGAATTCCACAGCAATAACTCACCAGATCATCACAAGAAAGCAAGCAAACAAGTAGATGCAAGCAAGAAGGATCACCTTGGTAAGTTTGATCAGGCATTTGACGACCAAATCTGAGAATTTCTGATTTCTTATGGCAAGAGACTCATTTGAGGCTGGAGAGGGCCACCTTGATGGGTCTAGTGGGCGTAAGAGATTGATCAATACGACAAACGATGATGTTCGTTCCGCATTATCCTGCATTAGAAACTAGTAGTCAGTACACAGATGCAATACATACCTAGATAGCAATCAAAAAAAGTCTCATTTTGGAAATCAACTTCACCAGGATCTTGAGCATCAAAACATTCAAAGCTTTCAAAAGTTGACTGCCATCGTCCATCCGGGGAACCCTTTCATCTAAAAGCCAAAGCAGAAGCTCAGTAATAAGACTGTCGAGCGTACTCTGCTTGACAGCATGAGCAAGCTGTCTATTTTGAAATGTCTGCAACATAGAAACAATCAAGAATTAAATTAATCTTTGATTTGCGGTTTCATTCCCTCATTCAAAGAGAAAAATAAAAGAATTGGCTTTTACAATAACTTCCAAGTTTTGCTTTTCCTCATTAGAAATAAGAAACATAATGGCAAAGAATCGAGCAAAAGTAGATGGGTAAATTACCTGCATGAGCGTGTTCAGAACATATTTACAAGACCTTGAAGAGGCTCCCATGAGACTGAAGTCAAAAGTCTTGGCTACCTGCAGAAAAAGTAAGAAAATACAAAAAAAAAAACTGTTTTTAGTTGTTCTAAACATGATAATGAGAAGCGGATAAACCGGGTATGGTAGAAGACAATAGGTAAACAGGATCAGTTCTGGCCTTGTTTGCCAAGCAAGAAACAAGTCGATCTGCATCTTTAACAATATTATCCATAGCAGTGCCTTCAGGATCGCTGGTTGCCTGTGCTAACTCATGGCACACGACCTTCATTCCTTCAACAGACTGCACGAACACAGTTTCTCTCAAGTTACATAAAACTGAGCCAAAATAAAAAATTAGATAGAATGAAACCTATGTAATAACCATACAATTGCGCAGTCAACGAAAAAAAAAATGCTCACTCAAAGNCAGACTGCACGAACACAGTTTCTCTCAAGTTACATAAAACTGAGCCAAAATAAAAAAATTAGATAGAATGAAACCTATGTAATAACCATACAATTGCGCAGTCAACGAAAAAAAAAAATGCACACTCAAACACTGATTAAAGTTAGCAATAAAATGATTACTTTAGAGCTAAAGGTTAGTGCAGATAGCATATTGACCCTGCACACTATTGGATCAAGTACATAATGAAACTCATCTATATTTAAACCAAAAATATTATACTCTAGAAACNACTTTAGAGCTAAAGGTTAGTGCAGATAGCATATTGACCCTGCACACTATTGGATCAAGTACATAATGAAACTCATCTATATTTAAACCAAAAATATTATACTTTAGAAAAAAAATAACTATTTTGTTCTGAAGCTACTTTTACAATATGTTGGCAACAGTGCAACATCGAGGAAGATCACCGTTTTCAACATTCCAGGGTTCCCTACAAGTCAATCTTATTTGTTGTTGGCAATGGGTTACCAGGACAGCAAGCTCAAGACGTCGTAGAAAAGGGATTTTGAAGCAAAAAACGGGAATCATGCCTCACACGAACTACACAGACAAAATATGGCTGGTTGTACTTTTCAAAATGACGTTTAAGCAATTATTCAGCCTACAAGTATGATCATTATTAGCCTGTGTACAAAGACTAGAAAATTTAGTGATGGTGGTGGCTTAGCTTCTTGNATCATGCCTCACACGAACTACACAGACAAAATATGGCTGGTTGTACTTTTCAAAATGACGTTTAAGCAATTATTCAGCCCACAAGTATGATCATTATTAGCCTGTGTACAAAGACTAGAAAATTTAGTGATGGTGGTGGCTTAGCTTCTTTTGCAGCACTAGGAGCAAATGGCAATGGACTACTCCCTTTACGCAAAGAAGAAGCTACGACATACAGTTAGATGCTTAGAATGTAAAATATGATGGAAAAAAGGCAACCACAATTTAGAGAAAATGATACACTTAAAACTGTGCAAACATAGATGTTTTGGTTGTCTTTTAGTTTACATTAGTTTGCACTCTGCAGATTATCAGAAGTTTTGCTGGTCNAGATGCTTAGAATGTAAAATATGATGGAAAAAAGGCAACCACAATTTAGAGAAAATGATACACTTAAAACTGTGCAAACATAGATGTTTTGGTTGTCTTGTAGTTTACATTAGTTTGCACTCTGCAGATTATCAGAAGTTTTGCTGGTCTTCCACAGTTCCTAATTGGATTCATGAATCTGACTGTGAAGTCACCACACAATGCAAGAGAAACCAAAAATATAATCATTAACATCAAGGTTTCTTTCTATTCAGCAAAACTTCCCCGGCCACAGTCTGCAAACCCTGAAATGTTACTTTATAAAACTGATGTTAATTTTGTCCCTTCCAAACTATACTGGGAAAAAACAAACCTGCTCAGGAGAACTATAAGCAATAATATCCAGAGCTTCATTCCAGTCTGTGGGGCCTATTGCACCGGCAAGTGTCCGCGGGATTGGATGTCTCTCCATATGTAGCTCAGAATGATCATAATTCTCCCTATAAGGAAATGTTATTGGCATCTCATACATTTATATCAAGATGATAATTCACTTCAGTCAACAATTAAAAAAGGACTAAATGACTTGAAATTTCAACACCACTAGAAGCAATACTTACCTATTAAAGATTGGGCCTGACATAGACCGTGAAACTTCGCCACTTTGCTCTGCCACATCAGACCTGGACACCATAAAGCATATAACAGTTATAGCGCTACACCTATTTTCTGCACACTGTTTGCACCTCGTGAAACAAAATGATGCATAATTGTAGATCACATAAGTAAATCAATGTATAAGCTACAAACTTTCACTCATAATGATTCATTTACAGGCCTAAAATTTCTATGAACTCAACCTAAATTATCATTCATGAATTACACAGAATAAAAAGATATTTAAGCACCCATACAACAGCTTAGAAATGGGGCTATACTAATTAATAAATAACTTAATCATCTATGACATATCTAACATGCTTCAAATCTGCAACCCATGGCACAATAACTCAAGGCCAGACATGAGAAGCGACAAGTATGTGAATTTGTAAAGGAAAAAATAGATAGAGATAAGATGATAAAGTCTTGGAGAACAGCCACACACCCACTATCCCTAACAGAACGCCTTAAAGCATCCCTAGCTTCCCCAGGCTTCCCCTCCTTCCTCTTGTCCATCTCTCGGGCCTGACAAAGAACATATACACTATAAGAAAAGAAAGAAACAAAAACAGCATAGCAAAAGTAAATTTATCCGGACCTTCCACTTAAATCTATCGTCTAACATGCTTCTTTGTGCTTCTGTCAGCTTTCCAACATATTTCCATATGTCATCACCTAACAAGAAATTTCATCAGACAAACCAATCAGGAAGGATGAAAAATAACAAGATGCACCCCCCAGAAAGAGCAGATGAACATCCCTTTTCAATGTGTATATAGTGCTTTGCCAATGATTTAGGGTGCGTTTGGTAACGTTTTATGTTTTTTTTGTGATAAAAATTAAAAATATAAAACATGTTTGGTAGTCATTTATATTTAAAAAATTGTGAAAACAAAAATAAAAAACTTGTTTTGTATTATACCAAAAATTTACCACCCAAACCCCACTGACCACCCAACCCCACCCACCGAAACCCACCCCCAACCCCCAGTGACCACCCAAAACCAACCCACTATTACCCAACCCCACCACCACCCCCAAAACCCAACCCTGAAATTCCCCAGCAAAACCATCAAAGAAGGGAGAGAGAGAGAGACCAGAAACAAGCTGGAGTAATCCTTCGGCTTTGGCAATTGGCGATGGCATCCAGAGAGAAAGAGACGACAGAGAGTGTGAAAGAGATGGGCCTTTTATACCCAAGCAAAAAAAAGGATGATTTTTGTTGTTATGGAGGATCAAAGCCAAGACCTCATTAATTCTTTGCGCAAGTTTTTTTTTTTGGATGTTTTCATATTTTAGCCTTGTTTTTAAAAAAGAGATGTTAAAAAAAAAAACAAAAATATTCACCAAACAAAATTTTATTTTCTTTTTAGCCATAAAATGAAAACAAAAACGAAAAAAAACGAAAACTGGCTGCTACCAAACGCCACCTTAGTGATCCATTAATACTCAACTTTTCTTAAAAACAATATTTCACTAGACCATAAGGAAAATAAAGTAAAATATATATATAAATAACAGACTAGAGCCGTCTACAGTAAGTGTGTAGCATCACGACTCACCAAGAATCTTATAACCAGTAGCTAGAGTATTTAAAGCGGCCTTCCTAATTTCACCATCTCGTTCGGCGGTTAAACTTGCAACGACTTGCAAGGATTTTAGTTGCCCACCTAGCTGTGGAAAGAATGATGAAAGGATTAAGTATCCTTTAATAATAATAAACAAAAACTAAGATAGAAATTTAAGAGTTTACCTCAGCTGCATGGTTATCAAGTAAGGATCCAATGAGATCAACACACTCGATGCGGGTTCTGTTGTTTCTAGATCGCAAACCTTCCAAAATAAAGGGAAAAGTTTTTGCCGCAGAATATGCATGAATAATTTTTTTTGTAAGTTCCCTCATTTTTTCTCGAACTTTTTCAATGTTATGACCAGACTGCACAGAAGAACAAAAAAATAAATTAGACAACCAACATCATATCCGATTATGGACAGCATATAAATATGAATTATTAATAGGCTTTAAATTAACAATGGAGGGTCACAAGAACCTTCTCAAACAAGCACGGAAGAAAAATGGCGGCTTCTGATTCAGTCATGGTGTAGCTTTCACTTCTCAACATGTCGAAAAGTTCAGGAAGAAATTCCAGCACCTATTTTAATTGTTCCAAAAAATAATTCAATGTAGGCAATCATATCTGGAAAACTACCCAGATAAGCTAGTAAACAGACAAATAAATAAAAAAAACACAACACGATACTATCCTATACCTTTAATATGCATGATGTGTTGGATTCGGAAAATCGCAAAACAAACCACCTCAAAAGTATATCTAAAACTTCAACTATTTCTTTTGAAATGGATGGAAGTGCCTGAGAATCAAAAAAACTTCAAAGTAAACAGCCCATTCACATAGGTGCATCCAACAAAGCATTAAATTAACAGCAAAAACACCTTATGCAGCATCTCAATCCCATCAACTTGCTTCTTGAAATCTGTGCTTAGAAGCCTCCTATGCAAATCCTCTCTGAAGTACTTTACAAGATCATTCTGTTGCAAGGAGATATTCAGGAACTCTTCAAATTCAAGAGTGAAAACCACCAAATCAATAAGTTATTCTAAGAACACTCAGCAGCTACAAACCTCAAGATCCTGAATCTGTTCTATACGTAGCTCCTCAAATTTAAACCTACGAACAACCATCCTTTCTCTATCTTCCTGTGCACAGATCAAAAGTAAGTATACATCATTAACATGATCATAGAATTTTATGCTATATCCAAACATACCTTGTTTGAATCCCTGACATTTAGCAAAGCCTGCGACTGGAGGGTGATATCTTGAACAGACATCATCGACTCCGGTCTCGAGCCCTTCGTTGATATACCTCTCTGTCCAGTCAACAAAACAATCAATATCCCTATTTTTTGTCAACAATAAAGTAACTCATAGTGGAAAACATACAGAAGATACAGGTCTGTTTCCATTCTTTAATACACCATTAGGTTTTCCAATCTTTGAGCCGCTTTTGGATGGTGGTCCGGTCAAAATTGTCTTTCCCGATTCAAACGTTTCTGGTAGCAAACGACTTACATTAACATTGAGTAACACAGCTTAAATAAATAAACAAACAAAAAGATAAACCCAATTTTATACCTTGGAATGCCCTATATGCCTTCAGCCGTTCACTAACAATAGCTAAAGCAGGTCCATGTATATCCTTCAAATTCTTGGTCACCTACAGGAGTTAATACTATGAGAAAACTCATGGTTCACAAAAATTCCAGAAAGCAAAGGAGCACAAAAAATTTGCAGCCCACACACCATTTCTTGTCCACAAACCCTCAAAACATCACCAAAGCATACTTCTGCTGCTTTACGAACATCCACTGATTTATCCTAAATGATAGCAGGTGCACAAAATGTAATATTTAAACAAATTCACTGTCAAAAATTCTAATACTTGCTGTAACAAAGTAATAAACAAATACCGTCATAGCAGCGGCGGTGGGTTTAAGCAGTTGTATGGCATCAGAAAAGTCAGTTAACACAGAAAGTTGCTTTGATAGCCAATCAAAAAGATCCTTACGCCCTTCAGCACCAAGTTTAGCATCCATTAAAGCAGCAGTGATGTAAGGTACCTAGAAGGAACAGATACGTCATGATACTTCACAGAAGGAGAAACTTACAAAAAGTATAATAAGATAAAGACTGGAGAAACAAGTACCATTTTATCAAGATGAACAGTAGCAAGCCAAGAGTCTAAACTAGACAAAGTGCACTCTCTCATATGCTTTTTATTGTCACCAAGGCATTTCAAAACATCTGAGAGGATACCCTGCAATAACCCACATAGTAACATACGACACAAAAGTTTAATTATCAAAACAACACTTGTGTGGGTCTGCATGTGCGCATGTATGGGGGTTGTCAGTGTTGAGGCTTTAGAGAGACAAAGAAAGAAAATTTGGTATAAGAACCAATGAACCTTGCTTGACTTCTCAACTGCCGGTCCCATTGCAGATGCAACCCCACCAATAGTTGACAAAGTCCCCATGACTATATTTTTGTTGCTGTCAAAGAGGCGGCCTCTAAGAGCACCAAATAACTCCCCTGAAAATTTTAGCAAGGCCAATAATCAGAGACTGCCAACGATACTAACAACAAATGCAAAATAAAACACTAAAGGGAATCAATAAGCCATTCAAGCATAGGAATTTCATACCAGTTCCTGTAGGTTGAATGCGTTTATTGGCCTCGTCCAGGATTTTGTTTACAGATTCAATAGCTTCCAAACGAACCTGAAACACAAAGGAACAACAAAGTCGAGGGATTTCTAATGAAAAGGAGTTGCAATAGATGGATTCTGGGTTTATCTTATATATGCTAATAACTCAACCTTCCAATCTGAACTTTCAAAGCTCTTTAACAGAATAGGTGTGATCTTTCCACTAATATCCTCACGTGGCAGGCTATCTAGGCCTCCACCAGATAAAGAAGATGTGGAGTCAAGAGCCTTTACAGTTTTCTTTGGAACAGCAGATGCCCCCTGCAGCATACAATAGTTAAACAGTGAACAGCCGAGCATACGAATAGCCCAAAAAGGAATGTAGAACATAGAATTAATTGTACCTCAAACGGATTTTTTTCATACTCTGCATCGAGGGCACTAAGAAGAGCAGGCTTGACATCCAAGAGGAACCCTTTAACATCTGCAAAAGAGGTATATTTTAGCCCCTGTAATTAGCTCAAGGCATCCATAAATTTCACAAACCAGATAAGTTACCTGGACCAACAAACTTATGTAAAGCGCCAATAAGTCTAATGGTGGCATTTCTGGTGGCAGCAGCACTAGATTGCAAACCAATATCTTTGCAGAAATCAATTAAATCCTGTGATAATAAACAAGATCACACAATCGTCATGATATGCACTTTCGATAACACCATTATTCTTGAAGAAAATCAAGACATGAGCACATGATGGGAACAAATATGTTAAATAAGTGACAAGACCTTCAGTTTCAGATGTGAGACACCAAAATCTTCGACTGCTGAAACCATCCATAAGATACCCTCACTAAGAACCTTAGGATTCTTGTGATCCTTCATAATTTTGTAGAGCTAAAACAAATTGAACTCCAAATATTAGCTAAAAATATAAAAAAGAAGATTACAATTAAGTAATAATAAAAGCATCGTTAGAGTCCTTGCCTAAGAAACAATTTACACCAATTAGTCATAAGCAAATCCATGCATACAGTCAAAAACTCAAGTACAACTAAACTTACCCTTTCAAAAATAAACCCGGGGCCCACTGCTTCAGAAAAAGCAGTAAGGCACTTCATGGCATGAGCACGGGTCTTGATATCTGCAACCCTTTCGCTAATACCTAAAAGCAAGGCATATTAACACAGGATGTAAAAAACAGCTATTGCATAGAGATAGTCACAGTATAATCAATGTATAAAGGTCCTATCAAAGCCCATTATATCCAAAAACTAACCTAGAAGGCAAAGTACAACACATTTTTTTGGAAACTTTGACGCAGTGGAAGCTATGTGAGTAATAACCTCAATAACCTGTTGCTGGACCTGCACTTTTCACAGAGAGAGAGAGAAATCAGTTAATTAAGAATAGCAGCAACAACAATCATTCCATACACAAGCAAAAAACAAACTGAAGCACCTGAACATTTTTCTCACTCCAGCCAGGAAGAGCACAGAGTAAACGGATCAAAATCTCCACTGTCTGGTCTAGGTTTTGTACCGATTCCACCTGTTCTTTAAATGAAACAATTGCTGCAAGAGAAGAGTGAGAATGAGCAGGAAGTGTCACTGGCCGTAGATTCTGAAAGAAACTCATTATGGGGATTAATCCACCTGCCTGAATTTCTTCATACTAATAAAATTAAGGATCAGTTGCTAAAGCTGAAGGCATTTAGTCAGAAATTTTTTGAAGAATACCAAACTGACAAATATGACCACCATAAAGAATGTCAACATGCAATGAAATGAACATATCAAGTGACGTAGATCTTAATATAAAAGTCCAACACCCCCAAACTTAAGGTAGTTGTGTGCCCAAAATATTCAAAAATAAATATTCAAAATCGCTAAATTTCAACCAAGACATTAAAATTCCAAAAAAGACAGCATTGGGAACAAAAGTGGAAAATGTGCCACAAATGCAGCTGACTGGTGGAAAAGGATTGTGCAAGTAACACCCAAAGCCGGGTAAATCAAGCTAAACCTATAGCTCTCATCAAAACTAATTTTCAATGCAATATCAACATTGTCCATCAACAAGCCCCTTTATGTTAAGTCTCAACTGACATCACTGCAACGTCAATCATGATATTTCACAGGAATTTGAGCTATTATACCAGACAAGCATTAATTTTCTTGATAAATTATGATGGTGGGTTTCTCAAGACTTGTTGGCGGGTATAAACTATTGCATAACTGACTAAGCAAAGTGGTACAGGATACTTTCCAGAAAGGAAACTCAAATGCCTAAAACAAAGCTGGACCTTCACCACTACATGCAACATGTTTTCACTTTCTCAAATCAACAAATAAGAGTATCCATATATGCAAGGAATGCTTTCCGTAGGGAGTATCAATCCTGGCTTATTCTTTGCCATAATTAGTGAAAACAGACCCGAATATGAGGGGTATAAAACACCGCATTCATATACCTTCAAGCCGCTCTTTCCATACAGCACTCCTCAACTGGGAAACTGTGTCTGCTTGTATAAGAGAACCTAATCTGGTTTCGATCTCTTCCAGACTCATATCAGCTGGCTGCAAACAATAAGGAAACCAAGATGTCGAAAAACATATAATATAATGATGTGTCATGTAGAATAACCAACTGAGAAGACAGTAAGCTAAAATCTAAAATAAGCTTATCAATTCACCTCAACATCTTCAGGTTCGACAGATTTCAAACTTTTTAGCGGTCCCGCTCCATCTCCTTTCTTGTTGACACCTGACTTCGTGGACCCTCCTTTCTTGCTAGCAGGCTGAGAAGATGCTTAGAATCATCAGCCAACAGAGCATAACGGTGCAAACATAATGTCTTAAGCATAACAAACTCATAAAATGATAAGGAAAAAATGTAAATTCTTACAGCCGCCTGAACGGGTTTCTTCCCACTAAGCATGCTTGCTGCAGACCTCCTACCCAAAGATCCATCCGAAGGCTGCAAAGTATATCAAGTACAGCATCTTAAAGTTGTGACCTAACAGCAGGAACCTATATACTTTTATGGCATCCAAGGAAGTGTCAACTAAACAAGAACTTTCTTTCCATGAAATTAAAGTATTATTATTTCTTCTTTTTTGATTGACTTTACTACCTTAGGGGAATAAAAAAATAAAATTACGAAGTCTTACACACAATGCATTTTTATGTTATAATTTCGGTGGTTTGTTTTGGCAAGCTGTATCTATCAAAACTCCTCCAGCAAAAGAAAAGAGAGAACTTAGTTATTTAAATGAGGCCACTTTCTAAAACCATGATCCCAGGGGGGAAACAAGAGAGAGATATGAGCATTCCATTCTAAAGAGTAAAGACCTTCCTGCTTCAAGCCCTATCACAATGGAACACGAGTCAAGGCAAAAACAATAACTCTTTATTTGAAAGCACCAATAATAAGAGGTCACAAGGCGCAAACATAAGTCTTGACCTGATTCCTCTGCCCAAATCAAGAGACCTTCATGCACAGAGACATACACTAAAACAGAACTTCCTTCCTTTCCAGAGAATAAAACAAAATAAAACGAGTGCTTCAGTATCCCTTCTAAATCATCCATTATTCAAAAACCATTCAGCCTACTGTACAGAAAAGGATGGTGAAATAGATGCATTAAAACATTTAGGGCCATTTACTCCAGCAATGCACTTTAAGCTAGAAAGTAGCTATAATCAAGTAACGCATAACCATTATCCACAGGTAACTCCAGAATCCAGACATCTAGAAATCCACAATCATAATTTTTCAATAGAACTTAAACTGTCAACAGTAATAAAGAAATAAAACCTCCAAATTAAATAAACATTTTATGATTAAGAAAGAGCTTAAAATTTACTAAATTGAAAGCATTTAAATTTGGTGTTTCTTTTCAAGTATCTCTTACTTCTCGGAAGCATTCTAATTTTATAGCAGTAGAAGAAAAAACTTACATAAAAGCAAAAAATATAAAGAAAGAATGACTATGGTCAAAAGGAAAAAATAAACCCACCTCCGAGCCCTGCATGTTTCCACCCGAAGACTGGACTGTGACTGGTATTTGAAGGTAAATATATATGTTAAAGACCAAANGCAAAAAATATAAAGAAAGAATGACTATGGTCAAAAGGAAAAAATAAACCCACCTCCAAGCCCTGCATGTTTCCACCCGAAGACTGGACTGTGACTGGTATTTGAAGGTAAATATATATGTTAAAGACCAAGCAGAAAGCCAAAGAAAAAATATCAGTTAACATTATTTCAAGCAGGGTGTCTTCTAAAAACAACTACAAACTGAAAACCTGAGCTTGCCCCAGCTGGTGGACCACCTCCAGAACCCCCAATCATTTCTGAAAGCTTTTTTCTCCTAACTTCATCCAGTTTCTCCAATAACTTCTCCAAAGGCCTCATACCAACCAACTGAAAATGGAACAATGTAAAAGCAGGATTTTTCGAAGTATTTACACTTGAAAAATAATTTTGAAGATTTAACAGGTTTAAAAAAAAAAGAGACCTTAGCTACTGCAGCCAAAGCTGAAAATGAAGCATCCCTTACTTCAGGTGTCCCATCATTGAGGCACTACAAATTCCAAATAAGTTTTCAAATCAATAGAGTACGAGAGTTCAGAATTTAGGATAGAAGTATAAAGGTGAAAATGGTGACGCCTGGAGCATGGACAACTGAATAAAAGCATGATACAAAAATGTGCATAAAACTGTGTCTAGAATGAGAATCCCAATGTAAATAACTCAAAATTCGTTGATAGGAATATTAGTCACAACCGCAACAGATAAGTGTAATCATTTCTCATTTTCAAAGTGTGCTGATAATATCAATGTCATAGAATCCCCCATCTGACAGCAGCGTAGTATCCCAACTGCTAATTCTCGGTTAATGTGGCACACTAGTAATCAGAGTTTGTCGCAGATATCGAATTAACAGGCCTGAATCCCAGATCAAGATTCGTGGCATCTAATTCACTAACCTCCATGCAAATCGCAACATAATCCTTATGCACTTTAAGAACAATAGCCTTGTTGCTCGTCTCAATACAGAATGTGACCCAGTTTAAAGTCAATGAGCGGACAAGCGGAACTTTATTTTTGGTCGCAGCCTTAACATCTGCAATAAAGGAATTTCAACATGTTCAGAATAAAGTTTCAAGGTGAGTACCAAGTCAGACAATCTGCAAAATCCAGAAGGAGAAATGGTAACCTAACAATTTCAAGCAAACATCTACAGGCAAATCAAAGCGACCAAAAAGAGTAAGTCAAAGAAAAAGCCAATAACAATAAACAAGTCTATGTATAGCAAACCATTGGTAGTTTAGGGAAAATTGTGAATAACTTCGAAGGTACAAGTAAAAAATCACCCACTAGACACCAAACTTATTTCCTATGTCATGTGATCAGCTAAGAAGCACTCCCAAACACCATAGTAATCAGCTAAGAAGCACAAACATGGACATGGGGCACGGATACGACACAACATGGATATACAGACACGACAATTTAAAAAAAAGTAGGACATGGTCACGCACACGTTGGGGACACGCTACAGATAATTATGTATTATATTATATAATTTACTGCGAATATAGTGATAATGATATACTATTGATAAAAAACTCCGTACTCTATGATAAATTATTGCTATGTTTGGTTACCTAGTGTGAATTTTTAGACTAAAGCATCATAATAGTCAAAGAATCGTAAATTTTTTTGTAGATATCATGTACCCAACATGATAATAGTTTATTGTTTAGTAGTAAACACGATTTATAGAAGTGTCGGAAAATTCATCAAAGAAATGTCGGACAAATCACCAAAGAAATGTTGGACATGTGTCCGAAATTAAAAAAAAATCATTTAATTATAAATACGGATAAAAGAGTACACACGGATATGTCACCTTCTTGAGAATATTCGTGATTCATAAGTAATCTGGTAAAATTTATAGCATGGGAACAACCTAATTTTCCCCATGGCTTGCCTAGAAAAGTGGCCTTCAAANCAAACATCTACAGGCAAATCAAAGCGACCAAAAAGAGTAAGTCAAAGAAAAAGCCAACAACAATAAACAAGTCTATGTATAGCAAACCATTGGTAGTTTAGGGAAAATTGTGAATAACTTCNAAATTTTTTTTCCTCGACTCCCCTCATGATGAAAATAAAGTAAAAGCCAACAAGTTAAAGCCAATTGAAACCCAGAAATGAAACCTGAGATTGAAGATGCTTCAGAAGAGGAGGCATTTGAAAGCTCTCCATCATAATACACATGAGAGGAAATCAAAATGAATGCCTGTTCTTTGCTCTTTTGATTATTCAATAATGACACAAAGAGTTTTTCCAGATTTCATCATCATTCATCATAAAGGAGGGANTTATAGAAGTGTCGGAAAATTCATCAAAGAAATGTCGGACAAATCACCAAAGAAATGTTGGACATGTGTCCGAAATTAAAAAAAAATCATTTAATTATAAATACGGATAAAAGAGTACACACGGATATGTCACCTTCTTGAGAATATCCGTGATTCATATGTAATCTGGTAAAATTTATAGCATGGGAACAACCTAATTTTCCCCATGGCTTGCCTAGAAAAGTGGCCTTCAAATGTTTTCTAGATTGTGGCACCAATTGAGGTCAGATAGGTAATAAACAAAACAAATTTTCTTGCCCATATCACCTTTCCTGTGGCAATTATACATAATGCATGTAATATCTAGTATTAATTCATGCTACCATTTTAAAGGAATGGAAAAAATCGGTTGCTTAGAAACACCTGCTTTTTCGGCCATATTTCTATTTTCCTTTTTTCCCCACCAGAATGAACAAAATCCTTAAGGCCTTCCTCAACAACATAATAGTACAAATAAATGGAGAACAAGGGGTTGGTTTATGGTAAATCTTGCCCTAACAATCCACGATATCATTCATTGAAGTACATAAAAATACATACAGGGAGGGTTATGTTCCCCTGGGATATTCAAAAGGAGGCTGAATACCTTACTTGTCTCAAAGGAATTATGGTATTGTGCACAGTAAGACTGAAATCAAATTATGGGACAGCATTTGAAGATGACATTATATTTTCTAACTTCTTTTTGTGGTTTCAGCTCCCAATGTTCTAATCTGATCATTATCAAAGTGCTACTTTCTACTCTATACAACCTCAAATTCCAGAAATTTTCTCGTTGCATTTACATTATAGAGCAGGTCTACACAGTGCTGAACCCTAGTCACCTTCCGGACTCCCCACTACCAAATTTTTTTTCCTCAACTCCCCTCATGATGAAAATAAAGTAAAAGCCAACAAGTTAAAGCCAATTGAAACCCAGAAATGAAACCTGAGATTGAAGATGCTTCAGAAGAGGAGGCATTTGAAAGCTCTCCATCATAATACACATGAGAGGAAATCAAAATGAATGCCTGTTCTTTGCTCTTTTGATTATTCAATAATGACACAGAGTTTTTCCAGATTTCATCATCATTCATCATAAAGGAGGGNATAGTACAAATAAATGGAGAACAAGGGGTTGGTTTATGGTAAATCTTGCCCTAACAATCCACGATATCATTCATTGAAGTACATAAAAATACATACAGGGAGGGTTATGTTCCCCTGGGATATTCAAAAGGAGGCTGAATACCTTACTTGTCTCAAAGGAATTATGGTATTGTGCACAGTAAGACTGAAATCAAATTATGGGACAGCATTTGAAGATGACATTATATTTTCTAACTTCTTTTTGTGGTTTCAGCTCCCAATGTTCTAATCTGATCATTATCAAAGTGCTACTTTCTACTCTATACAACCTCAAATTCCAGAAATTTTCTCGTTGCATTTACATTATAGAGCAGGTCTACACAGTGCTGAACCCTAGTCACCTTCCGGACTCCCCACTACCAAATTTTTTTTCCTCAACTCCCCTCATGATGAAAATAAAGTAAAAGCCAACAAGTTAAAGCCAATTGAAACCCAGAAATGAAACCTGAGATTGAAGATGCTTCAGAAGAGGAGGCATTTGAAAGCTCTCCATCATAATACACATGAGAGGAAATCAAAATGAATGCCTGTTCTTTGCTCTTTTGATTATTCAATAATGACACAGAGTTTTTCCAGATTTCATCATCATTCATCATAAAGGAGGGAAAGGGATAAAATTCATAACCACAACTAACTTGAGACCACTTCATGAGAATTAAGGGTATCACGTTGTTTCTTATGGTAAATAGGTCTCATCTGTAGTTTAATAATACAATAAGCTCAAAAACTAAGTATGGTATTGGTAAGAGTGTTTAGATGAATGTATGGTAAAATAATAAATGATATAATTAGAAATGAGTATATTGGTGAAAGGTAGACGTAGCACCAGTGGAAGATAAAATACGAGAAAATCAATTTAGGACGTTCGGACAAGGTTATCCAAAACCTACCACTGCACCAGGGTGATGTGATACCCATACACATGATAATCAAGAGCTAAACGTAGACCGAAACCAACTTTGAAAGGAATAATCAAAACTAAATAATTGCTTCATACAAAATTTCATGATCCACCTAGTGATTATGGTGTTCTATTCTCTCCAACACAACACAAAAGTGGGTGAGGAAAAATTAAACTTTTAAAGTAATCTTGCTTAGTGTATGAGGTCTTATGGGAACCGGGAAATTTCTAAAGTGGGCATTGTCGGTTGGACATAGTTTCTCTTCACCTCAAACAAAGGCCAAATTCATATGTTGGTTTCATTCACNAAAAGTGGGTGAGGAAAAATTAAACTTTTAAAGTAATCTTGCTTAGTGTATGAGGTCATATGGGAACCGGGAAATTTCTAAAGTGGGCATTGTCGGTTGGACATAGTTTCTCTACACCTCAAACAAAGGCCAAATTCATATGTTGGTTTCATTCATGTGTAGGGTTTACTTGTAAACAACTAGGTTTCGAAGTGTTTCGGTATGTTTTGACCTATATTTCAATATGTTTCGACCAATCTTGGTAGAAATAAATTTTCAAGTTTTTCTTTATTTCCGAAATGTTTCCATTTTCAAGCTCACCGAAATTATGCACCGAAATNGGTATGTTTTGACCTATATTTCAATATGTTTCGACCAATCTTGGTAGAAATAAATTTTCAATTTTTTCTTTATTTCCGAAATGTTTCCATTTTCAAGCTCACCGAAATTATGCACCGAAACAAAATTTTAATCCTTAATAGCATGTCAAAGTCTAAATCAAAAAAGGGATTGGCTAAGGAAATTTAGTTAAGACAAATATGGCTTTGTTAGAAAGTAGCTTTGGAGGTTTCCTTCGAGCCTAATTCTTTGTGGCATTTTATTATCAAAAGTAAGTATGGAATTTATGCTAATAGATGGGACTCCAATGTGGTGAGTATAGGCTCTTTCCGTAATCCTTAGAAGTTTATTTATCACTCTTTGACTAATTTTAGAAAGCATGTTTCTTTGAGAGTGGGGAATGGGAAAAGGGTATGCTTTCGGGAAGATATTTGGTTAGGAGAGTCATCTTTTGCTTTGTTGTTTCCTCAGCTCTACAAATTCTTGGGTGCTCGTAATAAGTGTCAGTCTCATTGGATTTGTCAATTAGTGATAGAAGGTTTTAGTCTTTTGAATCTTCTGGGAATTTTTCTTCTTGTTCCTATTTTCAATGGTTGATTGATATCCCTTATGATTATATTTGCTCCTCATTCGATGATTTGGAAGGTAAGAGTATATGCTAAGGAGCAGGTGCTTGCTTGATTGATAGTTCATGGTAAAATGAATACTTGTGATTTGTTGTAAAAGAAAAGGCCTAACACTTATGTTTCCCATAATTGGTGTGTTATGTGTAAGCAATCTGGGGAAATTGTTGATCATTTGTTTCTAGATTACCTCATTGCTATTTTCTTATGGAATAAGCTTTTGTGGGAACCAAATTTAGAGTGGGTTACACCTTGCAATAAATCTACCTCACTTTTTACTATGGTGTTTAATGGTTTTGGATGTGGTAAGAACGCTTCCATTTTATGGAGATGTGCTATTATGGCTATTTTTTTGGTTGTGTGGTTGGAGCAAAATGGGCGAATCTTTTGAAGGAGAGGAGGTGGAAAAAGAATTGTTATGGGAAAGAGTGAAGTTTTTGGCTTCTATTTATGTGGTGGTTACCAAGGAATTTAGTGACATTCCTTTGTCTCTTCTGCAATTTAATTGGGCTTCTTGTAGTCATTAGTTTCCTTTGTAATTTATTTTGTTCTTTGGGTGGACTTCTAATTCCCCATTTATTGTACTTTTGAAGTGTGCATCTTTTGCTCTAAGAAATGAAAGTTTAGTTTTCCTATCAAAATATATATACACACACACAAACACATAAATATCAAAAAAGTAAATCCCTTGACATGATGATTTCTAAATCAAATGACCATCCAGCTAAGCTTATCTCAAGAAGCACACAAAGAAATCTATGGTCAAAGCAAGCATCTCTGATTCTATGTAGCTCCTTCCATAATGCTTTGTTTTAGACTTTCATTGTTTTTCAAATAGACAGTTGTCTGTCTCTTTTGTACCATATCTTCCATTTTCATATTTTTTTCTCAGAAACAGTATCATCCTTATTTTAAGACTATACAAACATGCTCCGAGAAGCCTTCATTTATTTGTTTCTGAAAAATAAAGAACATAAAAGAGTAGCAAAAATGTTTTGAGTAACTCATGGATGCGAAGTCCATTTAATATTTGTTATATAGTTTGTCCTTTTCTGCGGGAAAAAAAATACACTGTAGCAAAGGGAATATTGATTATATACTTATAAATAAGTTCTGCCGCAGAGGAGAGATCATGCAAAGAATTGTCATATGACTCATAACTTGACTCCCACAGTAATNTAGGGTTTACTTGTAAACAACTAGGTTTCGAAGTGTTTCGGTATGTTTTGACCTATATTTCAATATGTTTCGACCAATCTTGGTAGAAATAAATTTTCAATTTTTTCTTTATTTCCGAAATGTTTCCATTTTCAAGCTCACCGAAATTATGCACCGAAACAAAATTTTAATCCTTAATAGCATGTCAAAGTCTAAATCAAAAAAGGGATTGGCTAAGGAAATTTAGTTAAGACAAATATGGCTTTGTTAGAAAGTAGCTTTGGAGGTTTCCTTCGAGCCTAATTCTTTGTGGCATTTTATTATCAAAAGTAAGTATGGAATTTATGCTAATAGATGGGACTCCAATGTGGTGAGTATAGGCTCTTTCCGTAATCCTTAGAAGTTTATTTATCACTCTTTGACTAATTTTAGAAAGCATGTTTCTTTGAGAGTGGGGAATGGGAAAAGGGTATGCTTTCGGGAAGATATTTGGTTAGGAGAGTCATCTTTTGCTTTGTTGTTTCCTCAGCTCTACAAATTCTTGGGTGCTCGTAATAAGTGTCAGTCTCATTGGATTTGTCAATTAGTGATAGAAGGTTTTAGTCTTTTGAATCTTCTGGGAATTTTTCTTCTTGTTCCTATTTTCAATGGTTGATTGATATCCCTTATGATTATATTTGCTCCTCATTCGATGATTTGGAAGGTAAGAGTATATGCTAAGGAGCAGGTGCTTGCTTGATTGATAGTTCATGGTAAAATGAATACTTGTGATTTGTTGTAAAAGAAAAGGCCTAACACTTATGTTTCCCATAATTGGTGTGTTATGTGTAAGCAATCTGGGGAAATTGTTGATCATTTGTTTCTAGATTACCTCATTGCTATTTTCTTATGGAATAAGCTTTTGTGGGAACCAAATTTAGAGTGGGTTACACCTTGCAATAAATCTACCTCACTTTTTACTATGGTGTTTAATGGTTTTGGATGTGGTAAGAACGCTTCCATTTTATGGAGATGTGCTATTATGGCTATTTTTTTGGTTGTGTGGTTGGAGCAAAATGGGCGAATCTTTTGAAGGAGAGGAGGTGGAAAAAGAATTGTTATGGGAAAGAGTGAAGTTTTTGGCTTCTATTTATGTGGTGGTTACCAAGGAATTTAGTGACATTCCTTTGTCTCTTCTGCAATTTAATTGGGCTTCTTGTAGTCATTAGTTTCCTTTGTAATTTATTTTGTTCTTTGGGTGGACTTCTAATCCCCCATTTATTGTACTTTTGAAGTGTGCATCTTTTGCTCTAAGAAATGAAAGTTTAGTTTTCCTATCAAAAAATATATACACACACACAAACACATAAACATCAAAAAAGTAAATCCCTTGACGTGATGAATTCTAAATCAAATGACCATCCAGCTAAGCTTATCTCAAGAAGCACACAAAGAAATCCATGGTCAAAGCAAGCATCTCTGATTCTATGTAGCTCCTTCCATAATGCTTTGTTTTAGACTTTCATTGTTTTTCGAATAGACAGTTGTCTGTCTCTTTTGTACCATATCTTCCATTTTCATATTTTTTTCTCAGAAACAGTATCATCCTTATTTTAAGACTATACAAACATGCTCCGAGAAGCCTTCATTTATTTGTTTCTGAAAAATAAAGAACATAAAAGAGTAGCAAAAATGTTTTGAGTAACTCATGGATGGGAAGTCCATTTAATATTTGTTATATAGTTTGTCCTTTTCTGCCAGAAAAAAAATACACTGTAGCAAAGGGAATATTGATTATATACTTATAAACAAGTTCTGCCGCAGAGGAGAGATCATGCAAAGAATTGTCATATGACTCATAACTTGACTCCCACAGTAAACAATCAAAATTGTAAGAGAAACCCACCTTCAACAATGTCCGCTAGATTTAAACACCCAGACTTGTGCATTGCTTGGAGTGTCTGAGTGAGTGCTTCTGTCAGAGTGGGTTTTTTCTCTTTCAATTTTTCCTATCAAAGAAGTTGTAACACAAAAATATGAACTCAAATAGCCAGACTCTCATGAAAAAAGCAACAGAAAAACAGTTCACAAGCAAGCTATAAGAACAGAAGCAGAGCTTAGAAATATAATGGGATTGAAAACAAGCATCGAATGCAATGTAGACAGTCAACACGGGAAACAGGTTTGCAAAGGTTCCAACCAGCAAGAATATGGAAGGAGAATCGTCTGCGCCGATGCAGGTGGAGGGTGAAGCCAGATACAAAGACCTAAACACAAGTCAGTTTCACTATGAACCACCCAGAACCCCCACCCCAAAAAAAAATAAATAAAATAAAATAGTTGTCATTTAATTTGTGCAAGTTGGGCTTTGTTGATATATATAAATTTGTAACTCCATTAAAAAGGCCTTCCTCCTCTTTACTTTCTCGATAACAAAAACAAAAAGAAAGCCATTATTTATGATAAGTTTATTACAATACCTCCGTACAGTTAAATTCTTAGCTACAGCTGTCATGATTGGAGTGACCTATGAAATGGTAGCTCAAAAGGTTTAAAATTTTCTAGTACTTCACCATCCGTGGCTCTTGAGACAACACAGAAATCAGATCAGCTTCGAATTCTAGAAATTCTGGACATTTTAACAGATGCATAACATAGCCCATGTCACTTGATATTTTGCTTGGACATGCCCTGCAATGTACCAGGATGGATCAGGTCATGGGATCTGCGACTTTTATGAAGGTATGGAAACTGCTGCATTTATTTGTTGCCATCCCTAGTTGATAATTTTACCTTTTACAACATCAACCAATTTGCAGAATCGCAGAAATGGCCTTTTATATAGAAAGAAACAGTTCACCAAATAATTCATTTTTTTAACGAAAACCAAACCTAGTTGAATGTAAAGGAGAGAAAAGGATTATAGAGAGGACTACAACCTCACCAAACTCCAACTGAAAAATCTAATTAAGGAACACGAAAGATCAAGGTATACCCCAGGCAGACAGGAAGCAAGTCACTATATTGAAAAGTAATGGGAGAAAGTAGCATCTGATGCACAAAAGGGCTGTTGAAAATTAGTGGTTGCTTATCAAAAAGAGCCAAGTCAAATTAATCACAAAATCATCATTCCAAGTTCAATGGAGCATGTTCAGATCATGGCCTAAGAGTATTTTGCCAGACAAAGAACACAACTATGCTGAACGAATGCTTAGTACATCAACAACCAGTGGCTACACAGAAACTAAGATCACAAAACTTATTTTTGAGAACAAATAAACATGCCCCCTGCTAACTATTCTATGAGATGTGCACTACATCTTACAACACCATACTTACCAGTAACATAGGCAACAAGAAGCGTGAATTCCCAGAAAAATGGGTTCTTAGGCCTCTAGCAAGATTGCCAATCGCTTGGATGGATTCGACTGCAACAGCAATATTTACATCTGTGATAAGCTGCAGGACAAAATAGGAGAGTTGGCAAATCTAGAGGATGAATTAACAATAAAGCATATGAATGGCCATACAAAATTAAGTAAATACATCAGCAAAATCAAATGCTTTAAAACAGCATATTTCATAAATATTAGACTCCAATACAGGTCACAACTTCGTGCAATTCTCAACACTCTTACTCTGACTCATCTAGCTCCACTTAACATTCCCCACCAGTATAACCCTCTCCAACTCTGACACATTAAAGAGATCACTCATTTTTTGATGGCCATCCAGCAATTGACATAAACTATAATGTCAATTAATCTTCGAAAAAAGTTTCAAAACTATTACACAAAGGTGGAGTTTTCTGAGGTTTATTGTGGAAAGTTATCTTTCACTAAGAGANCCCTCTCCAACTCTGACACATTAAAGAGATCACTCATTTTTTGATGGCCATCCAGCATTTGACATAAACTATAATGTCAATTAATCTTCGAAAAAAGTTTCAAAACTATTACACAAAGGTGGAGTTTTCTGAGGTTTATTGTAGAAAGTTATCTTTCACTAAGAGAATCATCATCATCATCATGCTTCAACTACACGTTCATCTTTTTCTAATGAAAATTTATGGGGAATTTATTTTTTCCATGATGAATTTTTCTATTAAGGTCTCCATTCTAAAAATATAGTCTACAATTGTTCAATTAAATCCTTGGAATACATATCCCAAACAGCTGAAGTAATGCACAGAAAGGCAGGCTTCTGAGCTTCAACTCTTTATTCAACTTAAGTCGCAAAGAAGTTAACAAGTTCTTAAAGTTTATACAAGTTTCCAGAAGTGCAAAACAAGAGTGCAATACAGCTATACAGAGTTTTTCAAGTCCAACATTTCCCAAACTTTGAGTAAAGTTAATCTCTGCAACGTTGTGAAACAGACGAAACCAAATTCAAATTTATAATTGACTGGATGATTAATTAACAACCTTGGCATACTAACAACATGGTAGGATGGGTTTGAACTATATTGCGAACATGCATACAGCCGGAGACAACGATGACAATGATGCCAATGCTGATTTGTATAATTTTACTGCACTCATATTATGTACAAAACGACATGTAGCAGTGAGAGATTAAGATAAGCATGTGAGCATTCATTTATAAGTTTGAGAGAGGAAGGCATTAAGATGTGAATGTCTAATAACTAATCATCAAAAGCCAGACATGCATAAGAGTTAAATACATCAAAATCCTGTCAACTGAACAGCAAGAAAATAAAATAGCCAACAAAAATCCTAAACAAAGTGGAGGACACTTTTGCCATATGCAACATCATAGCAAGCATTTCGTCCATCGGTTAGTAAGCAGTGAGATTAATTCAACTAAATAGCAACTAAGTACCTTCTTAAGTGTCCGACAAATTTCTGTAAAATCACCAGGAGCTATCCTTTTGGTCGAAGCGAGCTTACTCAGCTCTGCAACAGCCTCTTTTCGTTCGGACCACTTGGCAGCTTTCTAACATATAAATAAAATGTAAAAATAATCATAAGTATTACTGCAATAGAATTCCCTTATATGATATTAAAGTAAAATCAAAGAAAAGAGAAGAAAAGCCACGAAGTATCAAATGTTAATAACAAAAACGGTGAGAAACACACTGACCACTCCATCCCAAAACCCTGACTTTTCCAAAGGAGTTAATACATCAACAGGATCAACAAGTTCGTATTCATCTATTTCCTGAGGAACTGTTCAAGAAAATGAATGTCAAGCACAACAAAGGCAATGGTGATGATAGATATTAGTTAATATGCCCCAACATTGGCCATCATATTGGTTGTCAGCAGGCTTATATTTTCAGTCCGTCTAAATTCATTCATCATGATCAACAAGAAGTTTCACTGTTCCGTTGCATAGGTCACATACCATCAGCAGCAGATTCTTCAGAAGGGCCAGAGACCACAGCCACAGATTCAGCTTCCTGTTCTGGTTCCTTGTCTTGCTCAGATCTAATAAGAATGTCAATCAAAAGGTAAAACAAATTAGAAAGTAAGAACTTCTCTTCTATTGAGAACTTGCTCTTGGTTCAAGCCCACCATATAAGATCGAGACCAGGTATGTACTTTGATGCAGCAGCAAGCTAAATTCTTTATGGAAAGGCAGAACATTTTACTGATCTTATATAAGATTTTACAATGTAGAATCACACATATTGATGTAAACAGAGATTCATACCAGGCCATTGAGTGAATCCCAACAAAAAGTCTATTAGTATATGACAAGTGCTTGCTATTAGACATAACCAGGTAAAGGCATCAAAAATTTTGACAAGCAGAAACGTCACGCCTTTACATGTGGATAATAACTCCTTGGTTGACAACCACTGCAAGTACAACCTACCCAATCCCAGGTAACACAATGAAAAACAATTTGGAACCACCCATCACCCTCCCCACACCCCCACCCCTCAAAGGAAAAAAGGCAAAGGGAAAATAAAAATAAAGAGGGAAAAAAAAAACCAAAGTGGAACAAATAACACTCTTCTGGCACACAATGCAGAAAATTGTCACTGGAAGTGGAAAGAATAGAAGAAGATCACAACACCAACCACATATAACATTAACATATGCCACTAAGTTAACCACAAAATCAACAATACAAATACATAATGATGTGCTTCAAGATAAAGATCCACATTATTATTTAATTCAACCAAGTATACGCATGACCTAAAAAGCTGGAAGTTGACATAAGGACGTTTATGCAACACCAATCAAACAAAAAAAAATCATACCACCACCAAAAAAGGCTTGAAAGTTATATACATTTCTACGGATAAGAAAAACAAACTTCCTTACGTAAACAATTTCATAGATTATAAATTTAAGAAGGAAAGGAAAGAAAGAAATCATCACCTTATTTTGCGAGATGGCCTGGCAGTACCCGTGACATTCACCAGTTCAGCCTCCAACTCTTTTTTCTTAAAATAGCATAGATCAATCATAAACATTTTTCCAAGATGTAAGAATAAGACATGGCAGTGGATAAAAAAATTACCCCAATATGCAATCAACATACCATTGTATCCCGCATTTTTTCAAACAATATTGATTTTACTGGATCTTTCCCAATCCAGCGACAAAGCTCAAGTGTCAGACCTTTGGAAGAACCCCGAACATTCTGATCGGGGTGATCAAAAAGTTCAGGAAGCATCTTTAAAATTCTTTTCGGCGGCACAATCTTGGACCCAAATTCACTAATCATGTACAGGCAAAATAAAACATAAGTCCCCCAGGTTAGCAAAACAAAGAAACAAGTAAGAAAAAGGTTCCATTCTGGAACAGTCATCAGCAAACCTCAAAGCTTGAAACATGACATCTATTGCGGGCACAACTGCCTTGGCAACTTTATTCTTAATTGCTTTCTCCATAGCATCCTACAACAAAAATAATCCTTGTAAAAGGTACAGCAAAAAAGAACCCATTTGATTATCATTGTTAACAACTAGCGCACCTAAACTGAACCTAATCTACAACTGAAAAGTCACATAAGGCTTAATAAAATATGAAAATTCAAAATACTAAAGAACAAGCACAAAAAAATTAAGTCTAATAAATATGCAAAACAAGGATAACAGCTGCAGTGCAGCAGGCACAGGTGATGAAACTTTCTTTAACTATCCATAAATTTGCATCTAGACTGCACAGGTGCAGGTGCAGGTCTAACTACACTTAAAAAAATGAAACCCAACACACTATTCAAAATTCAGAAACTTGAAGAGAAAGTGTCAGACCACCACATAAGAGACAACCGAATGCAATTGCTTATTAAAAAGGACAATTCCCGATTTAGTTAGATGAGGTATAATCATAGCAAAAGCTTTTTAGCAGAGCAAACCACAATAAACTGCAATAACAAGAACAGCTCAGTACAATAAGACCCCAAGTCAACAGTTGGTAGGNGTATAATCATAGCAAAAGCTTTTTAGCAGAGCAAACCACAATAAACTGCAATAACAAACAGCTCAGTACAATAAGACCCCAGTCAACAGTTGGTAGACACAACCTAACTTGTTACCATATTACTGCTATCAAATTTTAAAATGTGGGGTTTATCTTTCCCTAAAAATGTTCATCACAAGAATTATACATTTCATTTTTTATTTCTACATCATGAGTTGCCCAGGATTGAGGTTCAGGCTTTTTGCATGTTCTACCTCAAGGTTTCAATCAACCCAGAGCCCTGATTGTCNGTTTATCTTTCCCTAAAAATGTTCATCACAAGAATTATACATTTCATTTTTTATTTCTACATCATAAGTTGCCCAGGATTGAGGTTCAGGCTTTTTGCATGTTCTACCTCAAGGTTTCAATCAACCCAGAGCCCTGATTGTCTTCACAAAGCTCATGCTCCTAGCAATCTTAGATATCAGTTCCAAATATATAACTAGGGTGTAGTATCAAAAACATAGGACACCCAATGCCAAAAAGACTGATTGGCCAATAGCAATTTCTAGCAATCCATACAATCTATTTAAGCAAGTACCATCTTTGGACTGCCTCCATCTGTCCTTTCCATCTTTCCTATATTAATTATCCGGTATATTGGAAGCATGTCCAGCAATCTTTGGAGGGGTAAAAAGGATGGTGGTAGGCATACATGGTTAAAGGAGTAGTACTGTAGGATACAGACATAGAAAATGGAGAAATACGTGGTTTAATCATGATAAACTTGAAAGACTACTGCACATCTCAAACAGCTCCAAAAGACAAAAGCAAAAATCTATAGTCCCATGCCCAGTTGTAGGTAGAGGAAATCCTACGGGTGAAAGAGGTTTCATTCCATATTGTTTTGATAAGAAACAAAAAGTTTTATTAATGAATAAAATGAAGTACAAAAAAATGGCCAAAGGTGGACACGACATCCATCCCAAAGCCAAGAAACAAAAACATAGTGCCAAACACTACATCATCCCAGTAACGTCAAAACAATCCGCAAGATGCTTTCTAATTCCCCATTATAAAAAAGAGATGAACATTCTCAAAGTCTCCAGTCACGGAAGCCCAAAATGAAGCTAATAAATATATATTATTCCACAATCCTTCCGCCATCTCACTTTTATTCTAAAAAATTCTCAAGTTTATTTCCAACCAAAATAACCCACACAATAGCAAAAAAAAAAAAACATTTATAGAATAATTCCTTTCCCACCACCACCAAAACCCTTAATATCCAAATAAAATATAGAAGACATGATACATGGTACCACCCAACCAAACCAAATAATTTCTGCCAGAATGAACGAGGCAACGAGCAATAGGGCAATGCAAAACTAGATTGTCCACACTATCATTATCGCATTTACACATAACACATCATTACAATGACAGACAAGCATTAAATCTCTTCCTTTGGAGCACATCGTTAGAATTAAGNACCCAACCAAACCAAATAATTTCTGCCAGAATGAACGAGGCAACGAGCAATAGGGCAATGCAAAACTAGATTGTCCACACTATCATTATCGCATTTACACATAACACATCATTACAGTGACAGACAAGCATTAAATCTCTTCCTTTGGAGCACATCGTTAGAATTAAGCTTGTCGTGAGAAATAACTCATGCACAAACTTGAACCTTCAAAGACTTGTTAGCCTTCCAAATCCTCAATGATGGGTAAAAAGGTGACCGGGAGGAATCATCAATCAAATACTCAAAGAAAGACTTGCACGAAAACGAGCTCGTTTGATCAATTGCCCAAACGTCATCATCTAGTGAATCATGACTCAGAGTGACACTGTTTAGCAAAGAAAGGAATGATACCAACTCAGAATACTCTCAATCATTTAGATTTCTTCAAAATCCAATATCCCAAAAGACCGAATGAGNACGAAAACGAGCTCGTTTGATCAATTGCCCAAACGTCATCATCTAGTGAATCATGACTCAGAGTGACACTGTTTAGCAAAGAAAGGAATGATACCAACTTAGAATACTCTCAATCATTTAGATTTCTTCAAAATCCAATATCCCAAAAGACCGAATGAGATACAAACAAAGATCAAAATATCGTTTCGAAATTGTCCAAACATCCGAAACGTTCTCGTTTCCAAGGAAACCGAAACGTTCTCGTTTTCAAACAGACCAAAACGAATCAGTGATGAAATCAAAATTCTAATACTTCGAGGTGTTCTATAATATTTTGAAATGTTTTGTTATATTTCAATGTATTTGCACAATTATTTCGAAACGTTTCAAAATATTTTGTATATTTTAACCAATGTTTTGAAAAAATAATTCTTAAATTTTTTATTTTTTCATTCTGTTTTCGAAACTGGTCGAAACGTTTTCGAAACACGTCAAAACATTTCTGTTTCCTAGGTAACCGAAATAATGCACAAAAATAAAATTTTGATCCTTGGATATAGACTAACCAATGATGCAATTGAATTTCCATGGAAACATGCGAGNGAAAAAATAATTCTTAAATTTTTTATTTTTTCATTCTGTTTTCGAAACTGGTCGAAACGTTTTCGAAACACGTCAAAACATTTCTGTTTCCTAGGTGACCGAAATAATGCACAAAAATAAATTTTTGATCCTTGGATATAGACTAACCAATGATGCAATTGAATTTCCATGGAAACATGCGAGGCATAAAGGCGAGGAAATAAGATAGAAAATGGTATCTCCACAACCCAAATATCCTACCAAAATTAAACTCACGCCATTCCTCACAACATACTTGACCCTTTTAGAAAAATAAGGTAATCCCTAATAAATGAATTCCAATGATTTTTGTAGCTTATGTTTCAACTCCATTAGCATCCCACCTATTAGCTTATGTGACATTTACTTTTGATGACTATTTACCANAGAAAATGGTATCTCCACAACCCAAATATCCTACCAAAATTAAACTCACGCCATTCCTCACAACATACTTGACCCTTTTAGAAAAATAAGGTAATCCCTAATAAATGAATTCCAGTGATTTTTGTAGCTTATGTTTCAACTCCATTAGCATCCCACCTATTAGCTTATGTGACATATTTACTTTTGATGACTATTTACCGTAACGAATTTTGCTACAAAGGAATTCTCCAAAACCATTTCCGAGCATGATCCTATTTATCCCACTGACAAACCACCTTTTTCTATAGACCTAGACTCTATCTCTCNTATTTACTTTTGATGACTATTTACCATAACGAATTTTGCTACAAAGGAATTCTCCAAAACCATTTCCGAGCATGATCCTATTTATCCCACTGACAAACCACCTTTTTCTATAGACCTAGACTCTATCTCTCACCGAATCAAATGATCCGTACCTCACCCTTTCCATCCCACAATAAATTTTTCATCATTCTTTCAATTCTTTTAGGCACCACGCTAGGCATCTTANTTGCTACAAAGGAATTCTCCAAAACCATTTCCGAGCATGATCCTATTTATCCCACTGACAAACCACCTTTTTCTATAGACCTAGACTCTATCTCTCACCGAATCAAATGATTCGTACCTCACCCTTTCCATCCCACAATAAATTTTTCATCATTCTTTCAATTCTTTTAGGCACCACGCTAGGCATCTTGAAGAGAGATAAGAAAAAAATGGGTATACCGGCCAACATAAATTGAACAAATGCTAATATCCCCGTTTAGAAATAAAAACTTTCTTTCATCCATCCAATCCTTTTTCCACTCTTGCAACAACTGGATACCAAAAGGCCACCAACATAGGATTACCACTTATCATTCCATATTTGAGTAAACTACCACTCAAATTGTCTCCCAAAACTATGGCCGAGTTATCCCCGTAATTTTATACGTGCTCCATACATAATTCTTATGTATACATCAAAATAGCTAACTAACAAATGCCCACAAAACAAAAAAAGCCACCAAGTTGAATGGAATTGATCAAGTTGTACCACACAAAAGTTGAGAATAACAATTAGTCAAGCAATGATGGTACATGAATCCCAATATCTTCGGGGCACAAAACACTGCATTGTCCATCTGGAAAAAAGAAAATTGGACTATCAAGATCCAGACTAAACAATGGAGGAGTATGAAACATCAGCACTTACCCAAGCTTGCCAAAGTGATAAATGCAAAAATACTACAACCTTTGGTAACCACTTGATCGATGCCAAGTATTAATGTGACACTTTTTGTCCAATATACAAGGGCAAGCCTAAGGGAACGAAGACCACTAAAATATCTCAAACTAGTTATAGTTACCTCTTTCCAACCCCAAAGACCTATGTTCATCGCCACCATGCTAATTCAAAAAGTATCAAACCTCCAAATTNCAAGTCCCCCCCCCCCCCCCCCAAAAAAAAAAACAAAAAAAAAAATTAAAAAAATTTTGTACTCTATCATGATACAAATTTTACTCATGTACAGATATCATCCAATACACAGCTGAGCAAATTGGATAATTCTAGCAGAACAAAATTATGCTAC